AATAATATTTGCACCCCTAAAGATTCTTATAAATAAAAATACAAACATTTTACTTTTAAACAATGAATCTCATCTTAAGGAAATTTATTTGGGCCTTCTATGGCTTCCCGTTTTACTGTGGTATAAAAATTAGGTGACACACATGCAAATTCCCTTTGTCAACCATCACCATTGGAAAAGGCAAAGGACTCACAAACGAAAAGAGACAAATGGTTGTTGACTATACCAATTTCCACTATTAGGGCAACAATTAAGAAGCTTAAAACCACTGGAACAGTGTTAAACTTGCCTGGTATTGGACACATGTGTATCTTGTCCCCATGCACATTGAGGAAGCAAAGAATCAAAGAAAAGTCCTAGATTCACAGTTGGAGAATTACAGACTCTTCGGGTCACGAAGTTTTCAAAACTACAATTAGGCACCATCTCCATGCCAATAGGCTCATTGAAAGGGTTGCGACAAAAGAAGGATACATATGCAGAAAATAACCTCATACCTACTGTATATGATTGTGGACCTTTGATGCTATGGGGCTGTCAGATATTTTATATACAGTACATATGAGGAGATAGCTGAAGACTCTACCTATCCATTGATGTAAATATATCCCCTGTCTGATTCCTAGTTTGTCCACTAGACAGCAGTAGTGAGTCACTGTGTTTGAATAGTGAGTCACTGTGCCAAAATGGCTGAACGGATTTTCAAGCCTGACGTCTTAAAATGACTTTACAATCAGGGCTTTCAATTTATGGAGTAATAAAAAAATGAAGACACAGACAGGTGAGGAAACTTCAAACTTATTCTCCCATTCACATTTCCTATTGTAAACAATGAGCTAGATCAGCGGTGCATGTGGAGGATGCATACAAGGTAATGTGGATGGAGAAGGAAATGCATTGCTTTACAATTACAATCAGAGTGTATCCTTTCCATGCATACTAAATGTTTTCACTTTTGGTGACTTGATCTACATTGTACATGATTTATGGCCTTTATGAGGAGGGGGAAGATTCTTATGACATTGCCAGCATTAAGATCTGAGTTAAACTTTCATAAAGACAAGGACTGTAGCTTTCAAATGATATGTCACTTTCTATTTTGGGGTGTCCCCCAAACTCACCGGCTCCAGTACCGCGTCCAAAACAACCACACAGAGTTTAACAGGTTTAAAGGTCAACGGCATCATGAACTTTATTTACCAAGTACCAGGACATTTTAGCCAAAAACCTGGTTGCCTCAATAACCCATAGCACACATCAAAATCCACAAATAAATTGTTAATTGACCACAAAATCACAATTTTGCAATGGCCATCTTAGTCTCCGAACTTGAACCCCATTGAAAACCTGTGGTTTGAATTGATTAGTCCATAAGCGCAGACGAAGGATATCAAGGATCTGGAAAGATTCTGTGTGGAGGAATGGTCTAAGATCCTTCCCAATGTGTTATACATCTCATAAAATATTTTTGAAAAAGGCTCAGTGCCGTTATCCTCGCAAGGGGAGGGTGGCGGAGTATTGAAAACAGGGGTGCCAATAATTTTTTGGGACTTTTTTAAAATTACTTGTTTCCCAATTTTTTTAGCTTACAATATAGCTCAGTATTTGTATTATTTATTTTATACAGTCTTTTTACCTCATTTTTTATCAAGGGTGCCAATAATATGTACTTGACTATGATGTGAACAGAACAAAAGCAAAGGTGCATATTTTTCACTAGGTGGCACTCTTTCCTTTACATATTAATAAAATCATAGAACATCTAAACATAGAATGTTAGCTATTTGTTTGAGTTATTGTAAACCATAGCATACATTTGACACATTTCAGTGCATAATTTAACTGTAACAATTGTTAGAATGTTGTACATGTTACTTATATAAAAGGTGTAATACCAGTTTGGAAAACCAGTTTGGAAAACCAATTATGCCCCACCATAATGCAAAAAATCAACATGGAGGGTATCCATGTTGGTGAGGAAAACAAAGGTATCAATTCAAACAAAGACAATGGTCAATACCAACATGAATGAAGCAGGTCTTTATTGTCGGTCATCATTGATCAAATGGATAACTTGTAAGCAAGCTAGTTCGTATAATAAGCAGTTGATTTGATAATGATTTAATTAATTAAACACATTCATGCAAAGTCCGTCCTAGATTGGGCAGATCGATAGTCCAGACAAGTAAATGTGGATGGGGACAGAAAACATCTTGAATGTACCCATAAAATAATAATATTATTTCTCCCTCTTCCTACCATCATTTTATGTATTCATCGATTATTTTTTCTTTTTTTCTTTAATCAAAGTTAATGATTAAGTACATGTACAATAGTTAACTGTTTACATTGGATACTTTATCTTGATGTTCTTAAAAATGCAGGTACATGTAGTTCGTAATAACTTTGATTGGTTAGCATTTCATTGCACTTCAATTTACATACCATATTTAATTATTAATGTTGTAGTTTGTCATTGCTGAAAGTATTTGTTCTGATAACTTTCCATAAGTTCCATCTCTCTCACCAAACAATCTTTAGAATAATGTCAAATTAAACACATACTGTATATTTAACACCACACTAATTTTAAACACAGTTTGAATGCAGCAATATTGTTAAAGCTCGAGGTCTCATCCAACAATTTGACACTTCTGAAAATTTAAGTAAACGAAACAAATGCAATTAACACTTTTGATTTATCAAATGAAAATAAAGCTAACTTTTTGTCTCAAGAAGTAACTATACACTATTGGTAAATTATTATGGAACACCAGTATATTTCAATGGCAAGGCATGGCAAATTTCCTAGAAGTGCTGATGGACCAATTAAAAGCAAACTTTTATTAGTGTGAGCCAATGAAATTGCTTCTTATTAAACTGTGAATGATTGACATCACATAGCAGCTCTACCTGAGTGCATGTCTTACTAAATTGCTCAAGACATTTTTCGGTGATGTTAGAAAGTTGTTGGGGTATTGTACGAAGCAAAATAAATGAATTTGAAAATGTTGTATTGTACTATCGTAGATGTATCGCTATATTGTAAATTGTATTATCCTTGTCATTTGATGAGAGAAATTATGATTTCCGTAAGATAAAAGTGCAGACTAACAGTGAGAAAAGACAAATAAACAGTGACATTTAAAGTGCAAAAGAAAGAATATTCTACAGTGATGTTTTTAATATGCAGCATGTAGTAAGGGGACACATATGTTCAGAATAATAGGTATTTGTAACTGAAAAAAAATTAAGGAATTAGCTAAATCTCTGAAATGTGAATGATTGACTGATGATTTTACACCTGAAGTAAACATTCAGTGAAACTGTATAGCTAGCACCCCCTGTATAGCTAGCATCCCCTATGGGCCCTGGTCAAAAGTAGTGCTAAATAGGGAATAAGGTGCCGTTTGGGACGTAACGTTAATCTCTGGGTACATCCAGTGAATTCCCCTAAAGAAAAGCCACTTGTGATCATATCTGGGTGAAACCATCTCCCGAGGTAGACAAGAACACATGTGGACCATTACAAAGCCACTAGTAGATACATCAACTTAATCTTGTAAAACGCATTCATTTCGAATCCCCCAAAAATCCAGTTCAATCTCAATGAACAAAGAAAGAGTAATAATGACACTTATTTCGGTAACACTTTACTTAATGTAGCGTTACCCTTATTTCAAATGGAGATATAGGCCTACTGTAGGAAATATTTAGTAACACTTGAAGCGGTTCCTCGTGAAGTGTTATATTGTCTAATAAGCACATTCATAGCACTTTATAGATGCATTCGTAGGGCTTAAAAAGACGGTATACTAGTCTATAATGGTTATCATAGATACGGCACACTTTTTCATTCCAAATGCAGATTTACCAGCTGTGATAGTCCCTGATTAGGTGTGAGAGAGAAATAATAACAAGTGTAAACTGCACACTGCCTTTTTATAATCAAACACCATTTCAGATCTGATTCTTAAGTACATGAAGGTAAAACTTTACTTGATGCACCTTATGTGTTATAATGCTTTAAAAACATTAATGCATCTCATAGATGCAGTCATTGAGCATTGTGAAACTTTACAATACAGGTAATAAGGCATGAGAGAGATATTCATGATACATAACAGTCTCTGGTACCTTATTGCTTTTTGTACAGTTTCTTTGACTTCATCTTTAAGGTGCTATGAATGCTTGTAAAGCAATACAACAGTTGATAACCCTTCATAAGAAGGAGCGTCAAATAAAGTGTTCCCTAAATTACTTCTGAGGTTTGACCTAAATAAGGTGAATCCTATAATTTAGCTATATATAATTTTCATATCACACATGATCATTTTAATTTAAAGCACTTCTTTAAGCAAACTAGTCAGTAAGATCAGATGAGGCTGCTGCTCTCCTGTTGCAGTTGTTGTTTTGTCCCTGGAAGCGTTTGTGATCGGAGGAGTAGATAAGAACAGGTCTTAGAACAGGTCTTATTAAGGCTTTTGAGGGCTGCAGTACTGAGTCAGACTCCATTAGATTCCTCCAGGATCAGACTTTAATTACAGAGGGGCTAGGGGACCCCCCCATAACAAATCAGGTACCCCACATTTGTCAACGACATGGACGTTGGGCACCATTGTCGTGCAGAGCCGCCAAGAGTCAATGTGTAATTCGAACCCTGCTAAGGAACAAGTCCCTAGACTGTAATAGGGAGGCCTAAGCTGCAGATGAAGTTACTAACACCCACTTCCCTAGTCTGTGTGGCGTTGGGGGTCACACCGCTGCCTGGTGCTCCCTATTACTTGTTTTGTTCTTGGGCTTAATTGTGATTTGAAGCAGACCCCTCTTTGTTATCTTAAGCTGAGAGTTAAAACAAAGCGTTTTTGCACAATTTGGGACAAACACGTTTGAGGTTGTGGAGTTTCTCTGACATACAGTAGATAAAGGGGTGTGTGAAGTGCAGTGTGGATAGTCTGATGGATAGATTGCCCTGATACACTAAGCTAGGCTAGCCTTTATTATCTGATGGCTGTCTTGCTCTCAGAAGCATCTGACTTCCCCTTGGTGGGTGTGGATGTAAGTGTGGATATAGATGACGATGGGTAACGTTTGCCTCGCCTTCTGGGTGTCCCAGGGGCTGAGGAGTCCTCGGTCTGAGGCGGTCTGGGTTTTAGCGGAAGTGCAGTCTGCGCCCGCACGGATATGAGCTGCCTCCGGATCTCTGTGACTGCAGCCCCCCGGCGTGGGCGCTGAGGGGAGGGGCTGTCGGTCCGGGAGGTGGAGTAGCTGCGGGGGGAGGTGCTGAGGCTACGGGGGAAGGGGCATGCAGAGTGAGGGGCTCGGAAGATGACCCCACGCAAGGGGGCCCGGGGGGTGGAGAATAGGGGGGAGGAGTTAACCCCGGGTCCAGGTCGGGATTGCAGAGTCTGGGACCTCTGGTGCAGTGGAACATTCATGCTTGGGGTCCTGGGTTTGTGAGATTGATGCCTGAAAGACAGAGACACAACACAGAAATAGTCAAAGATCTAGAATGATGCTTTGAATCCTCAATTCTGTTCTAGAATGATGTTTTGAGTTTATAATATGGAGTCTTTCACATAATATGAATATTATTATCCATTCAGAATATTATTCAAAGGACAGGGTGAACAACACAGTAGACAGAAGGCAGCCTTGGCTTGAGCCCCTATAGATTGGGAATTGATAAGAGCATGTGTTTCCTGTCAGATATGTTATAATTGAACCCACCTATTATATACAGTTGGAAGTTGTGGCTTGTGGACACTAGCATTGGTGCCATTTTCAGACGCTGTAACAGAGGGTCCCTGCAGCTTAACAGGCGTGACAGGACGGGGTATCCTGCTTCTTTGTCGCCCCCCACGTCTCTCCCTTTCCCCCCCAACACCCCAATCCTTCCTGGGCAGAGAGTCATCCTCATCATGGGTGTCTTCCTCTGACTGGGTCTCTGCTGCTGCTTTACAGCCATCATCCGCAGACGAAGCTGAGGAAACAGAAGCCAGTCTTAGCATACGACCTTGTGTCCTTTCCATGACCAGCCGGGCTAGGTGGGGTTGCTTGGCCTTCTGACGAGACTTGAGTGACTGGGACGCTGCCGACTGGTCCTGGTCCGAGCCGGTGTCCTCCTCAGACTGGGAGAGAACCGGGATTCGGCTCAGTTTGCGAGGCCTGATTTGTTTGCTGGCCACTTCTTTGCTCTCCACCTGGTGCACTGCCAATGTTTCTGGATCACCAGAGTCCTTGGGTTCCTCTTGTGGAGAAGTCTCAATGTTTTGTTTGAGCTGGACCTGGCTCTCCTTCTTTGCCAACGTCACGTCTTGGGCAGGCGCCTTCTCAGGGGAAACGGCAATAGGGGTATCCAATAGGGGTATCCTGAAGCCCAGGACATCCTGGGCTTCAGGTTCTTCGGAGGGACAGAGAATGGGAGAGGAGAAGTTTGACTGTATCGCTGGCGGAGCCTCGTCCCCATGTTCCGTCTCTTCTTCCTTCTCTTTTTCTGGAGGGATTAATTCCTCAACCTCTTTCTTTGCAACATCCTCTTCCTCCTCCTTAGTCATGTCTACCTCTTGGGAACCTAGGGTTTCTATCTCTGGAACTTCCTCATTGGACTTAATATCTCTCTTCTCCTCATCCTCCTCCTCCTCATCTTTCTCCCCCTCCTCCACCTTGTCGCTCTCTGGAATGTTCTCCTCGTCCCCTTCCTCATCTTTCTCATAGACATCTCCTTCTGATCTACTCTCCCTCCTCTGTACGTTGTATGTCTTTGGGACCTCACCCTCAGACTCCCTCTCACTCCCATTCTCAACGTCTTTGTCTGAGAGGTCCCCATCGGATCTGCTCTCCCCACCCCTCTCTTTCTCTACATCGGAGACATCCTCCTCTTTCTCTCCCTCCAAGCGGTCCTCCTGTTTGGCTGTGGGCAGCCTGGGTTGCAGGGTCCCTGAGGAGCTCATCACATTATGGTGGGTGGTCTCGGCAATGTGGATGAATGTGCGCTCCACTTTGGTGAAAGGAGGGGAGGTGCCAGTAGGAGCAACCACATTGGACGCCACATTGACCAGGATGGCAGTGACGGCCGTCAAAGATGATTTGGGCTCGGACTTCAGCTGGGAGGACAGAGTACCTGGCTCAGACACGTCCAGCAGGCTTCCCAGAGCTCCCAGGGCTCTCTCACACTGGGGTGTGATGGCTGCCAGGGTCCCCTGGCGGCTCCCAGTATCGTCCGGGGGTAGATCGCCCACCACGGCAAGGGACCTCCTCATGTCTCCAGGGGAGAAGAGCACCAGGGTTTTGGAGCCTTCCTCCAGCTCCAGGTCCGGATCACCCCCTAACCCGACTCCCGCAGAGACCTGGTGAGGGTAGTCCAGAGGAGGCTCGTCTGCGAGGAGAGTAGAGGGAGCTCCATCATCTCCCTCCTGGCTGTGCTCGCTGCTTTTGGGGCTCCCGACACCGCTGGACCCAACCCCGGCCCCATTCACATCCCTATCACGATCCTGCTCAACAAGGGTTCCGGAACCAACCTCAAAGGAGGTTTGGAGAGGCGGAAGGGTGGCGGTGAGCATGGCAGAGAGGAAGTCCACCCGATATAGGCGATGCTGGGCCAGCATGATAAGGTCAGGTCTCTCTCTCTTTGCACTCTGTTGGAGGAGGTCCTCCACACTGCCACCCTGGTATGTGTTGATCTGCTCCGGGGCCTACAACATATGACAAAGAGAGAGGCTGGCTGTAGTACACAAGTATCAAAGGAAAGGAAACACTTTCCCTGAACCCTAGGACATATTACATACAGTATATAACAATGAAATATCAGATGTATTATTTAACAATGTGTTAATGAAATGAAACAGAACAAACATATTTGAAGAACACCATCACAAAGACTTTAGTACACATAACTGTAAACAGTTGCAGAGCAGAACCAGTGTATGATCTTAAAAATATGAATCTATTAGAAAACTTTAGATATGTTTAAAATTACTATCATAGCATCAAACCATCTCACGCAAAGACAACATTTCCGTAAAGTACTTCCCCAAATCCTTTAATCATATTTTGGTTGTATACAAGTGTCTGAGGATTGTTTACATACATGGATAAAAAGGCACAGAAAGTGCATGTTATGTTCTCTGTTTTCTTTTAAATTGCTCAACCCAGGTTTGATTTCAAGTGTAGCCATGATGTAGGCATGGTTAAAAACAGTGTGTTGCCAAATGTATGTACAGCTGTGAAGCAGATATACAAGATCACATGACATGCTGACATCAAAGTACTGAAATGTTGTTGATCCAGCAATGTACTAATATACATGTTTTTAAACATTTATTTAAAAGATTGCTTGATATACATGCTTTTAAATACATGATGTAATACATGACTCTACAGGGTTACTGTGATACAAAAACAAATGCTTATATTATAGGTGATATGGACTGTCCTGTCCTCCTTTACTGAGAAAGACTCTCACAGATCACGATGTTGTTCAAATAATGGTTGACATCTTTTACATTCACTCCAAAGTATCTTACACAATCCCATGCCAACCCACCCCACCTCACACATACATTATCTGCAATGAACTGAAATGCAGGTATGCCAGTACTGCGAATCATTATACATCCTAGGAAGAATTTGAGTCAGGAAGGACTTTCATAGAAGAGTCCCCAATGAAACGGAGTCAAACACATTGTTTCCAAGTGTTTGATGTTTGGTACCATTCCATTGATTCCATTCCAACCATTACAATGAGCCTGTCCTCCTGTAGCTCCTCCCACCAGCCCCCTCTGACATACACACAAGACTGGGGCAACATAATATAGGCTAAAGCAGCATCATTACAGTATATGATTGCATGTAATTTTACATGAGAATGCTTCGGCAGGAAAACTCCCAAAACCCATTTCACCGTTACCAGCCAAACAAAATGTTTGACGTGCATGTTTTTAACACATGGTTACCAAACCTACTAAGGTAATCACTGATCTGTGAGTATCCTTTTTTCGTTTGGAAATAAACCAAAGTGAAGAAGATAAACTCTAGACCAACGTACACAAGGACATATCACATACAAATCAGACTTGACAAAATATAGTTCAAGCAAAGTGGCAGCCATAATTGTTTATTGTGAGAACTGAACTGAGATCAGGGCCCCTATTCACAAAGCGTCTCAGAGTAGGAGTAAATTTTTCCTTTTAATAAGATTACATGGACAGGGGGTACCTGACCTTAGATCAGCACTTGTATTCTGAGATGCTCGATACATACAGCCTCAGAACTGAGCTTAATCAGAGGTTGAGAAATACATTCAGTGAGGTTCATTATTGGATCTCTGAAAAAGTGAAATTGATGGAAGACCAAAAAGGCAAGTGTATTATAACATATTTCTTCCTCATTATACAATCTATACATGGTCTCAATTCAATTAAACCTGCATTGTGGTGTTTACACAGCATAGCTCTTCTTTTCCAATGGTCAAATGAAATTTCAAAGCGGTGTTGGGTACTGTTAAATCCATAGAATTAGGAATTAGAATTCAAATGGATCATGACGAGAGGCAGGGAATATGTTGTGTACCTCCAATCAAGTTGATTTGCAAAATTTCATCGACATTGGTGTCATATTGCCTTAGATTTGATGGAAGGAAGACTTGAATTTAACGTTGAGCATCAATCAATGCCTACTGGATCTTTATGGTTAAATCCTACTACTACTGGCCCAGGGCAAGCGGATAATGCGCTCGCCTCTGTAACCATATACAGTGGATTCAGAAAGTATTCAGACCCCTTCACTTTGTTACATTACAGCCTTATTCTAAAATGGATTAAATACATAAAAATCCTCATCAATCTACACACAATACCCCCATAATGACAAAGCAAAAACAGGTTTTTAGATTTGTTTGCAAAACATATATATATATATATATATAACGTATTTACATAAGTATTCAGACCCTTTGCTATGAGACTCGAAATTGAGCTCAGGGGCATTCTGTTTCCATTGATCATCCTTGAGATGTTTCTACAACTTAATTGGAGTCCACCTGTGGTAAATTCAATTGATTGGACATAATTTGGAAAGGCACACACCTGTCTATATAAGGTCCCACAGTTGACAGTGCATGTCAGAGCAAAAACCAAGGTATGAGGTGGAAGGAATTGTCCATAGAGCTCCGAGACAGGATTGTGTCGAGGCACAGATCTGGGGAAGGGTACCAAAACATTTCTGCAGCATTGAAGGTCCCCAAGAACACAGTGGCCTCCATTATTCTTAAATGGAAGAAGTTTGGAACCTTCAAGGCTCTTCCTAGATCTGGCCGCCCAGCAAACTGAGCAATCGGGGGAGAAGGGCCTTGGTCAGGGAGGTGACCAAGAACCCGATGGTCACTCTGGCAGAGCTCCAGAGTTCTTCTGTGGAGATGGGAGAAACTTCCAGAAGGACAACTATCTCTGCAGCACTCCATCAATCAGGCCTTTATGGTAGAGTGGCCAGACGGAAGCCACTCCTCAGTAAAAGGCACATGACAGCCCGCTTGGAGTTTTCCAAAAGGCACCTAAAGGACTCTCAGACCATGAGAAAGACGATTCTCTGGTCTTATGAAACCAAGATTGAACTCTTTGGTCTGAATGCCAAGCGTCACGTCTGGAGGAAACCAGGGACCGCTCATCACCTGGTCAATACCATTTCTACGGTGAAGCATGGTGGTGGCAGGATCATGCTGTGGGGATGTTTTTCAGTGGCAGGGATTGGGAGACTAGTCAGGATCGAGGGAGAGATGAACGGAGCAAAGTACAGAGAGATCCTTGATGAAAACCTACTCCAGAGCGCTCAGGACCTCAGACTGGGGCAAAGGTTCACCTTCCAACAGGACAACGACCCTAAGCACACAGCCAAGACAATGCAGGAGTGGCTTCGGGACAAGTCTCTGAATGTCCTTGAGTGGCCCAGCCAGAGCCCGGACTTGAACCCGATCGAACATCTCTGGAGAGACCTGAAAATAGCTGTGCAGCGACGCTCCCCATGCAACCTGACAGAGATTGAGAGGATCTGAAGAGAAGAATGGGAGAAACTCCCGAAATACAGGTGTGCCAAGCTTGTAGCATCATACCCAAGAAGACTCATGGCTGTAATCGCTGCCAAAGGTGCTTCAACAAAGTACTGAGTAAAGGGTCTGAATACTTATGTAAATGTGATATTTCAGTTTTGTACATTTTATAAATGTACCAAAAAATTAAAAAACCTGTTTTTGCGCTGTCATTATGCGTTATTGTGTGTAGACTGATGAGCGAAAAAAATGAATTTAATGAATTTTAGAATAAGGCTGTAACGTAACAGAATGTCAAGGGGCCTGAATACTTTCCGAATGCACTGTAGGCCTGCTTCCCCCTGCAGAATGGATCCCAGTTCGAACCTCGCATGAGCCCTTCCTGCTCCCTCTACTCTGTCTCCCTGCTTCTGCTCCTAACCTGTCATAAAACAATTATTACAAAAGGAGGTCAGAAATTCTGTTCTCCTTTGTAAAAAATTCTAATCTACTACTACTACTACTACTACCAGGTAGACTCCTCTCACAAGTAAACAAACATTGCGTAAACATTGCTAGGACAGGTTCAATTGAATTTCAGCCTTAATCCCCTCCTTTTAAACAATTACAGTAGTGAGCAACAAATATTGACAATATGGACATTTCACAAAATCTATAGTTGTGACTGGTGCAGCAAAATGAAGGCATGTTCTTGAAGCAACAAGATCTGTGTCTTCTATCCAGAGTCCAAACAGCAGTATCAAAGGCAAGATAAATTAAAAGATTCACAACAATAAACATTAGAAACTATAAAAATAATGAAAAATAAATCATTATTGCTGGTAACACTGGTAAAACTGTCAAAACCAGATGCAATCGTTTGTGTGCATATGAATAATACAATATTATAGACATGTTATAGGCGTGCTACATACATGTTATAAACATTTATATGCGGTAAGACAAAGCAGCATTCCACTACAATGATGGAAACTATTGCCTATCAATCGATTGCCTATACTGACCCATAATTGACCCTCAGACAGAAACAATCATTTAGAATTTATCTCTGTTCATCTCAACATCCTGGCACATTGACTATGATAAAGCAGCATCCACAACAGCCATTCAACATTTTGCTATGCTTTGTTATTTTAAATAACAAAACCATAAACTAGATCAAACAAGAACAATACATGAGGATGAAGAGGGTAATAGTGTTGGTGATGATGATGATGATGATGATGATAATGAGTAGGAGGGGAATTATACTTATTTCATCCCCCTTCCACACCCACCCACCCACACACACACACACACACCCACACACACACACACACACACACACACACACACCAGTCCTAAAGCACTTTTAGCATGTGCAGATGAAAGCCTGGGCAGAGCAGAAATGACACAAAGCACAACTCTTTGCCTAAAATTCTACATCTAACAAAGCTACAGTACTCAGCGCTTGAATAAAAACAGCATCTTTCAAAAAACGAGTGTCAGTGTACAGTAAAGTGGTATGTACAGTGTCTGTGGTGTACAACTTTTTGAACCATGTGGATCTCTCTCTCTCCTCTCTCTCTTTTCTCGCTCTACCTATCTCCCTCAGTCTCTCTCTTAGAGCTGGGTGATATAGACAAAAATCCATATCGCGATAAATTGTCTAAATTGATGCAATAACGATAAATAGAACGATAAGTTTATAACATTAATTAAACACAGTTTTTTTAATTCTCCTTTAAACTACTACTACTACTAACTTGGTTGTAGCCATCAATTGTGCCATTAACAATCATATGGAGCGATTTCAGTGCCAACAGAAATTGTATTTGAATTCCATAATTACATTTACATTTTAGTCATTTAGCAGACGCTCTTATCCAGAGCGACTTACAGGAGCAATTAGGGTTAAGTGCCTTGCTCAAGGGCACATCGACAGATTTTTCACCTAGTCGATAATTCTAAAATATTAGGATATTGAATTTGAATTGAATATTTTTGAATTTGTAATGCACAAATTTAATAATTGAATTCATAAATTGAACTTGTATTTCATGATTTGAAACTGAATTGAATGAATATTGCATTCAGTTTTAAAATTCATTTTCAATTGAATTGAATATTCACATTCATTATTTATATATTCAGTTTCAAGTTTACAAACTATCATTTTAAGTTTATCAAAGTTTCATATATTCAACTTTTCAGATTCAGTTTTCAAATTCAGTTCTCTAAATTCAGATTCAAAACCAGAGACAACATCCTGGTACTTTGCCAGCCAGGACAGGTAGAGGAAAACAGACAGAATCAAACTCTCTCTGTGGTAAACAGAAACTTCTGGCGGTTTCTGAAGCCAATGTTATATGTTACATTAATGTTCTAACTATGAATTTGTCTCTGTTGGCACTAAAATCGCTCCATACAATCACCCATATTAGCAAACTTATTTCATTTCAAACTTCACATTTCTCTAGTATAGGCTACTTATCGTAATGAATGATATCAGCAAAATGCCTGCGATAAGTGATCGGTGCCGATAATTTTTGGTTTATCTTCCCAGCTCTACTCTCTCCATCCACATCCACAATATCCACTGAGCTGTATGCCTCGTGGGGTGGCCATTTTAGGAGCCTGGGGTTCGTATCCAGTGACCTTGCCTGCACTTCCTCCAGAAGGACAAAACCCGATCCTACTATTCCTGTTCCACAGGTCCACAGGCTCATCCGGAGCACAGGGTACAGGTCGGCCCCAGTTTATTGCACAAGAAATAAAAAAGTATTCTTCCCTTTTTTGTAATATTCCCTTTTGTTAAACCCTCCAGTCCGCCTAGATATAGCCAAGAGTGTGTCTATTTATGTGAGGAGGAGGGAGCAGAAGGTATTGTTGTTGTTGTGGTTCGTGAAAAAGCGCTGCATGTGGTTACACAAAATGTTAGCTACAACCCCTACTGGGTTTTTTATCCGATCACGTCTTGTTCATTAGTTTGGCCAGCATCTGTTGTATCTGGAGTCGGGACAGGTTGAGGACAGAGTGTCTGGGTCGCGACCCCCCGGGGCTGCCGGGTACCAGGGGTATGTGGCGCCGCGAGGGGAGACGGGCGGGGCTACTCTCTGCGGAGCGGCTTCTCTGGATCAACGCCCCAGCTTCCGAATTACCATGGGGATACTGCTCCGTCTCCAGGGTAGAGGACGAGAACACGTACGACGCCAATCTCCTCAATTGGTTGGGCCTCTGGAAAGAGTGGTGGGGGTGGGGCCTGTCCTCCTCCAACTGAAAAAGACCAATAAGAGTGGAGGAGAAAGGCATCAGGCGGTGGTGTGGCCAAGAAGACTCCGTCTCTTCTCTATCTCTGCTGGCAGGGGAATGTCTGGGTCTCTGTGTGTCTGTGTGCATGTTGCAGTGAGCACACCACACACACATGCACACACAGCAGAAATATAAGGGGAGGGATCTCTTTTTTCAATCTCTTTAAACGAGACCTAAGCACAATCGTTTGGGTTGGGTTTTATTTTGAATGGATAAAAAGGGATGTTGTTCAAGCATTTCAGTGTTTGCTGACTGTCACTGGATATGGATATGCAGGCACAGGCCAATGTTTTTCTGGCAAGATATTTAATGGGGTTTCCGAGGGGAGATTGACTTGGCGCTGAGAGAGAGGAGAGAGAGGAGAAACATATCCCTACCTGTTGTGTGAAACAGTTTTTGTGTACTGTCTGGAACAGTTTACCATCATAACCTATAACATATCTTCTATCAGAACATGTATTCACACAACAGCATTATCCTGCATCATCAGCACAAAATGGTTGAAATGGCTGCTATCTTGAACAGGTCTCTCTTGTAAAAGAGATCTTTGTATCAATGAGACAATCATGATTAAATAAATAAAAAACTCAAACTGCAAGGAACTTTCAGGCCACCCATTTCAGTGACGTACATCTATAGCTGCCAAAATTAATGTTATTAAAACTATGGCCAGAATTCAATCATTGCAAATACAGTGCATTCGGATATAAGTATTCAGACCCCTTGACTTTTTCCACATTTTGTTACGTTACAGCCTTATTCTAAAATTGATTTTTTTTTTAAGAATCCTCATAAATTTACACACAATACCCCATGATGACAAAGCAACAACAGGTTTTTAGCATTTTTTGCAAATGTATTCAAAAGAAAAAACTGAAATATAACATTTACATAAGTATTCAGACCCTTTACTCAGTACTTTGTTGAAGCACCTTTGGCAGCGATTACAGCCTCAAGTCTTCTTGGGTATGGTGGTACAAGCTTGGCACACCTGTATTTGGGGAGTTTCTCCCATTCTTCTCTGCACATCCTCTCAAGCTCTGTCAGGTTGGATGGGGAGCGTCGCTGCACAGCTATTTTCAGGTCTCTCCAGAGATGTTCAATCGGGTTCTGGCTGGGCCACTCAAGAACATTCAGAGACTTGTCCCGAAGCCACTCCTGGGTTGTCTTGGCTGTGTGCTTAGTGTCGTTCCTGTTGGAAGGTGAACCTTCACCCCAGTCTGAGGTCCTGAGCGCTCTGGAGCAGGTTTTCATCAAGGATCTCTATGTACTTTGCTCCATTCATCATTCCCTCAATCCTGACTAGTCTCCCAGTCCCTGCCGCTGAAAAACATCCCCACAGCATGATGCTGCCACCACCATGCTTCACAGTAGGGATGGTGCCAGGTTTCCTCCAGACGTGACGCTTGTCATTCAGGCGAAAGAGTTCAATCTTGGTTTCATCAGACCAGAGAATCTTGTTTCTCATGGTCTGAGAGTCTTTAGGTGCCTTTTGGCAAACTCCAAGCAGGCTGTCATGTGCCTTTTACTGAGGAGTGGCTTCCATCTGGCCACTCTACCATAAAGGCCTGATTGGTGGAATGCTGCAGAGATGGTTGTCCTTCTGGAAGTTTCTCCCAACTCCACAGAGGAACTCTGGAGCTCTGTCAGAGTGACCATCGGGTTCTTGGTCACCTCCCTGACCAAGGCCCTTCTCCCCCGATTGCTCAGTTTGGCCAGGCGGCCAGCTCTAGAAAGAGTATTGGTGGTTCCAAACTTCTTCCATTTAAGAATGATGGAGGCCACTGTGTTCTTGTGGACCTTCAATGCTGCAGAAATGTTTTAGTACCCTTCCCCAGATCTGTGCCTTGACACAATCCTGTCTCGGAGAAACATCTCAAGGATGATCAATGGAAACAGGATGCACCTGAGCTCAATTTCGAGTCTCATAGCAAAGGGTCTGAATACTAAGGTATTTATGTTTTTTATTTTTTATACATTTACAGATATTTACAAAAACCAGTTTTTGCTTTGTCCTTATGGGGTATTGTATGTAGATTGATGAAAAAAATAAAATATTGAATCCATTTTAGAATAAGGCTGTAACGTAACAATATGTGGAAAAAGTCAAGGGGTCTGAATACTTTCCGAATGCACTGTAACTGTTCCTCCACACTGCTGTGCTTCATGAAGTGCGTTTCATTTGCACAGCTGTGTATCCCGGATGGAGGGAATTCAATCTTCATATGAGATAGGAATCTGCAGTCCTCTTACACTCACTGGATGACTTATTAAATACAATACCACCGGTCTAAATAAAACATTATCCATTGACTTTACGACAGCTTGGTAATTATAGGCTTTAGTCAGTGGATAGATTAAGCAAAAATACAGTAAGCTATGCACAGTAATTGGTCAAATTAACACTGGGTGTACATAACTTCACCTTCAAAAAGTAACTACCAATGGCTGAGAAGATTAAGAATAAGTATACCATTCATGCAAATTGTGTCCAGTTACATTGTCGACACAGGAAATAACAGGAAATGGCCCACGGCCGAAGATAACATAGACATACAGTACCAGTCAAAAATTTGGACACACGAACTCATTCAAGGGTTTTTCTTTATTTTTACTATTTTTTACATTGTAGAATAATAGTGAAGACATCAAAACTACGAAATAACACATATGGAATCATGTAGTGACCCAAAAAGTGTTTAACAAATGAAAGTATATTTTAGATTTTAGATTCTTCAAAGTAGCCACCCTTTGCCTTGATGACAACTTTGCACACTCTTGACATTCTCTCAACCAGCTTCACCTGGAATGATTTTCCAACAGTCTTGAAGGAGTTCCCACATATGCTGAGCACTTGTTGGTTGCTTTTCCTTCACTCTGCGGTCCAACTGTCACGACTTCCGCCGAGGCTGCCTCCCCCTCCTTGTTCGGGCAGGTTTCGGCGTTCGTCGTCACCGGCTTACTAGCTTCTGCCGATCCCATTCTAATTACTCCACTTGTCATGTCTTGTCTTGTCAATCACACACACCTGGTGCTCATTCCCCTAATTACATTTACATTTTAGTCATTTAGCAGACGCTCTTATCCAGAGCAACTTACATGAGCAAATTAGTATGTGTATAAGTGTTCACTCTGTTCCCCTTGTCTTTGTGAGTGATTGTTTATTTTGAGAGCGAGTAGCTCGGTTGAGCTACTCTTCTATGTGGTTTTGCAAAGGTGGATTATTTTCCCTTGTTAGTTTCGTTTTGACGCTGGGTGCGTTTTATTTATGTGAACGGAATAAACTCTGGACTTCTATGTTTTACCTCCTGCGCCTGACTCCTTCATTCACACCTAATCTCAGAATCACTCACTCTGCTGAATGGAGTCAGCAGGAGAAGACCGCATGCCAGGAGTTGTGGCAAGGGTCCAGGAGCATTCCTCGATGCTGGCCAGCTTGGGGTAAGCGATGGATCGGGTTCTTCAGGTAGTAGAACGCCTGGAGAGGAGAGGACCCGATCTATCAAGACCAGCTGGTCAACCGGATCCAGCCACCTACACCCCAGCCCCTGGAGGGATCCAGATATCCCGGGGAGTTTGCTCGCCTCTTTCAGGCCGTTTTCGGGCGAACGACTGGTCCATCTGAGGCAGGGGACGAGGACCGCACAGGACTACGCGCTTGAGTTCCGGACGCTGGCTGCGGGGTCCGGGTTGAACGAGCGGGCCCTGATCAACCATTTACGGTGCCACCTAAGGGAGGACGTCCGACGGGAGCTAGCCTGCCATGATGCCATGCTATCGTTCTCCCAACTGGTGGACATGGCCATCCGGCTGGACAATCTGCTAGCAGCCAGAGGACGTCCTGGTAGGGGTCTGCCCGTTCCCACTCAGGACGACTCTGACCCCGAGCAGATGGTGCTGGGGGGATCCGCCGGTCGAGAGAACTCTGGTGGCACGAAGAGACAATCCACCTCATGTCTCAGTCAACGTTCCTTTGGGGCTGGAGGCGGTAGGCAGAGTACTCACGCATCACCCCAGGTAACGAACACCCAAACTTGTTCAGAGCCCTTTGCGGCACACTGTACCTTATCGATCTCCTTTCCCGATCACCTGGTAGTTTCCCAGTGTAAGGCGCTAGTCGATTCAGACGCAGCTGGGAACTTTATGGACAGGGCATTTGCACGCCATCAAGGCATTTCATTGGTTCCCCTATCCATTCCACTCCCCATCAGAGCACTTGATAGTCGACCATTAGGGTCCGGGTTGGTTAAGGAGGTTACTGTACCAGTCACCATGATTACACAGGAGACACATTTTGAGCAGATCACTTTCTTGATTATTGAGTCTCCTGCTTACCCTGTAGTCTTAGGTATTCCGTGGTTAGCCCTTCACAACCCAATTTTTCATGGCCGCAGAGGGTTCTTACGGAGTGGTCGCGTGAGTGTCCGGGTAGGTGTCTAGGTGTTTCCGTTGGTGCGACCACGGTGGAAAGTCCAGACGGTACCCCCACTGTGCGCATTCCCCCCGAATACCATGATCTGGCACTCGCGATTTCCAAGACGCAAGCGACTAAATTACCACCTCATCGGGAGGGGGATTGCACGATAAACCTTCGGGTAGACGCTGTACCTCCCAGGAGTCATGTGTATCCCCTGTCGCAGGCTGAAACGGAGGCTATGGAAACATACGGCACCGAGTCCCTTTGCCAGGGGTATATACGTCCCTCCGCTTCACCTGCTTCCTCGAGTTTCTTCTTTGTGAAAAAGAAAGATGGTTTGTTGAATGCTCCATCCGTTTTCCAGTCCTTTGTGAACAAAGTGTTTCGGGACATGCTTGGTTGCGGGGTGGTGGTCTACATCGATGACATCCTGGTGTATTCCGCTACGCGCGCCGAGCATGTGTCCCTGGTTCGCAAGGTACTGGTCCGACTGCTGGAAAATGATCTTTATGCCAAGGCAGAGAAGTGTGAGTTTTTCCAGCAGTCAATCTCCTTCCTCGGATACCACATTACTACCACAGGTGTGGAGATGGAGGGAGATCGCATTTCTGCCGTGCGTAATTGGCCGACTCCAACCACGGTGAAGGAGGTGCAGCGCTTCCTTGGCTTTGCCAACTACTATCGGAGGTTTATTCGGGGCTTTGGCAAGGTCGCAGCTCCCATTACCTCCTTGTTGAAGGGTGGGCCGTCCTGGCTCCGCTGGTCTGCTGAGGCTGATTTGGCTTTCAGTAGATTGCGGGGTCTGTTCACCTCAGCCCCGGTACTGGCCCACCCCGATCCATCACTACCGTTCGTAGTGGAGGTGGATGCGTCTGAGGTAGGGATAGGCGCTGTCTTATCCCAACGCTCAGGCACGCCACCCAAGCTCCGCCCCTGTGCCTTCTTTTCGAAGAAGCTCAGCTCGGAAGAGTAGAACTACGGCGTTGGTGATCGGGAGCTGCTGGCTGTTGTCCGAGCTTTGACGGTGTGGAGGCATTGGCTCGAAGGGGCGAAACACCCTTTCCTCATCTGGACAGACCACCGTAACCTGGAGTACATTCGGGCAGCAAGGAGGCTGAATCCTCGCCAGGCCAGGTGGGCCCTCTTCTTCACCCGGTTTGATTTCACACTCTCATACATTCTGGGTACGAAGAACGTGAAGGTAGACGCACTGTCTTGGCTGTATGACACAGAGGAGAGGCCCAGAGATAACACCCCCATACTCCCGGCCTCATGCATTGTGGCGCCGGTAGTATGGGTGATGGACGCGGATATAGCGCAGGCATTACGCACAGATCCATCTCCACCGCAGTGTCCAGCTGGGCTGCAGTACATACCTGCGTTTATTCGTGATCGTCTGATCTACTGGGCACACATGTCACCCTCCTCTGGTCATCCAGGTATCGGTCGTACAATGCGCTGCCTAACCGAGAAGTACTGGTGGCCTACCTTGGCTAAGGACGTGAGGGTGTATGTTTCCTCCTGCTCACTGTGCGCCCAGAGTAAGGCACCTAGGCACCTCCCAGCGGGTAAGCTACAACCTTTACCAGTTCCACAACGACCATGGTCTCACCTTAGTATTGATTTTCTTACTGATCTTCCCCTCTTCCAAGGTTACACCACTATCCTGGTCGTTGTGGATCGCTTTTCGAAGTCCTGCCGCCTCCTTCCTCTGCCCGGTCTCCCCACGGCCCTACAAACTGCGGAGGCTCTGTTTACTCACATCTTCTGGCACTACAGGGTACCAGAGGATATAGTGTCCGACCGAGGTCCCCAGTTCACGTCTAGAGTCTGGAAGGCGTTCATGGAACGTATGGGGGTCTCGGTCAACCTGACCTCTGGATTTCACCCCGAGAGTAATGGGCAGGTGGAAAGGGTGAATGAAGATGTGGGTAGGTTCCTGCGGACCTACTGTCAGGACCGGCAGGGGGAGTGGTCGGTGTTCCTGCCATGGGCAGAATATGCTCAGAACTCTCTCTGCCACTCCTCCACTAACCTAACACCTTTCCAATGTGTTTTGGGTTAACAACCGGTCCTGGCACCGTGGCACCAGAGCCAGACCGAGGCTCCTGCAGTGGATGACTGGTTTCGGCGCACGGAGGAGACATGGGACGCTGCCCACGTTCGCCTCCAGCGTGCCGTGCGTCATCAGAAGGCGAATGCTGACCGCCACCGCAGGGAGGCCCCGGTTTTCATACCGGGGATCAGGTCTGGCTCTCGACCTGGAATCTACCCCTTCGCCTTCCCTGCTGGAAGCTGAGCCCGTGGTTTGTGGGGCCGTTTAAAGTCCTGAGGAGGATAAACGAGGTTACATACAGGTTGTTACTCCCCCCTGATTACCGTATTAACCCCTCGTTTCATGTGTCTCTCCTCAGGCCGGTGGTAGCTGGTCCGCTCCAGGAGTCTGAGGTGCGGGAGGTTCCTCCACCTCCTCTGGACATCAAGAGGGCCCCGGCGTACTCGGTCCGTTCCATACTGGATTCGAGGCGTCGGGTGGGGGGCCTTCAGTATCTCGTGGAGTGGGAGGGGTACGGTCCAGAGGAACGGTGCTGGGTCCCAAGGAGGGACATCCTCGATCCCTCCCTGTTGAGGGATTTCCACCGTCGCCATCCGACTCGCCCTGCTCCGTGTCCTCCTGGCCGTCCCTGAGGCTGGGGTCGGCGCACTGCTGGAGCCGCGCGTCAAGGGGGGGGTACTGTCACGACTTCCGCCGACGCTGCCTCCCCTCCTTGTTTGGGCAGGTTTCGGCGTTCGTTGTCACCGGCTTACTAGCTACTGCCGATTCCATTCTCATCACTCCACTTGTCATGTCTTGTCTTGTCAATCACACACACACACCTGGTGCTCATTCCCCTACTTAGTATGTGTATAAGTGTTCCCTCTGTTCCCCTTGTCTTTGTGAGTGATTGTTTATTGTGAGAGCGAGTAGCTCGGTTGAGCTACTCTTCCATGTGTTTTTGTCAAGGTGGATTATTTTCCCTTGTTAGTTTCGTTTTGACGCTGGGTACGTTTTATTTATATGAACGGAATAAACTCTGGCCTTTGGTGTTTTACCTCCTGCGCCTGACTCCTTCATTCAAACCTCATCACACCAACTCATCCCAAACCATCTCAATTGGGTTGAGGTCGGGTGATTGTGGAGGCCAGGTCATCTGATGCAGCACTCCATCACTCTCCTTCTTGGTCAAATAGCCCTTACAGGTGTGTTGGGTCATTGTCCTGTTGAAAAACAAATGATAGTCCCACTAAGCGCAAACCAGATGCTGTGGTAGCCATGCTGGTTAAGTTTGCCTTGAATTCTAAATAAATCACAGACAGTGTCACCAGCAAAGCACCCCATCACACCTCCTCCTCCATGCTTCACGGTGGGACCACACATGCAGAGATCATCCACTCACCTACTCTGTCTCACAAAGACACGGCTGTTGGGACCAAAAATCTCAAATTTGGACTCATCAGACCAAAGGACAGATTTCCACCGGTCTAATGTCCATTGCTCGTGTTTCTTGGCCCAAGCAAGTCTCTTCTTCTTATTGGTGTCCTTTAGTAGTGGTTTCTTTGCAGCAATTCGACCATGAAGGCCTGATTCACGCAGTCTCCACTGAACAATTGATGCTGAGATGTGTCTGTTACTTGAACTCTGTGAAGCATTTATTTGGGCTGCAATCTGAGGTGCAGTTAACTCTAATTAACATCCTCTGCAGCAGAGGTAACTCTGGGTCTTCCTTTCCTGTGGCGGTCCTCATGAGAGCCAGTTTCATCATAGCGCTGGTTTTTGCGACTGCACTTGAAGAAACTTTAGTTCTTGAAATGTTCCGTATTGACTGACCTTCATGTCTTAAAGTAATGATGTACTGTCGTTTCGCTTTGCTTATTTGAGCTGTTCTTACCATAATATGGACTTGGTCTTTTACCAAATAGGGCTATCTTCTGTTTACCACCCCTACCTTGTCACAACACAACTGATTGGCTTAAATGCATTAAGAAGGAAAGGAATTCCACAAATTAACTTTTAACAAGGCACACCTGTTAATTCAAATGCATTCCGGGTGACTACCTCATGAAGCTGGTTGAGAGAATGCCAAGAGTGTGCCAAGTTGTCATCAAGGCAAAGGGTGGCTACTTTGAAGAATCTCAAATATAAAATATATTTTGATTTGTTTAACACTTTTTGGGTTACTACATGATTCCATATGTGTTATTTCATAGTTTAGATGTCTTCACTATTATTCTACAATGTAAAGAAAAACCCTGGAATGAATAGGTGTGTCCAAACTTTTGACTGGTACTGTATACCCGCAGAAAGACAAACACAGATGCAGACGAAGACAGACAGGTGGCCTAGTACATTTAAATTTAATTAGAATTTCAATTCAGTTCAAATGGACCCCAACCCAGATAAACACACTCACACACCAAGACACACACCAATTCTCTACCCCGCAGTCCCTTGCTCTTACCTGTCCGTGAGCTCCAAAGTGCTCCGACTGTGGCCGTGGTCTGTGTCCATGGCTATGAGGCAGAGTGTGATAACCAGAGTGTCCAGGACTAGCCCCATTAGACCCCTCCCCATCCGGAAGTGCCCCTATGCCTCCTACTCGCATCTTAGGCCTCACCACCACCTCTCCACCTCCAGCTCCCCGTAACCTCCTCCGCTCCTCCAGTTCCTCCAGGGGCCTCAGCTCCTCGGCCTCCTCGTCGGTGGTGGGACCCGAGGTGGTAGGCTCGGCCCCCGGGCCCAGGAGACCCAGGAAGTCCTGGAGCTCAGTCTCCTTGTCAATGATCACCCACTCCTTGCTGTCAAAGTCTTCCTCCTCTGCAAGTGGTACAGACCGGATGAAGGCGTTACTGTGGGCCTCGGGGTCGGCCGCGGAGGCTACGGAGACCTCCTGGCCTGGTCTCCCACCGCCACCCTGCCGGTCCCCACCTCCTTCCTCCAGGGAGTGCATCTGGGCCGGCTGGGAGGAGTGCACGTAGCGGGAAGGGGATCCCAGGATGTCCATACGAGACCTGGTGGGGAGACAAAGAATCATTGTCCAAAATTGTACATTTGACTGTGTGTTGTGATTTAATGCGTTTTCAATGTGTGTAAATAAATAAAAGAATCAGCCCAAAAAAAAGCTATGTCCTGCTCCTTCCCTGACTTTTCCTAAATGTTTGTATTTTTACACTGCTCAATTGTCAGAATTTTGAAATCACAAACAGAAAAGTATTTAGAGCATTTTTACCTGTTTTTTTTCACACCTATTCCTAACGTAACCCGCCAAGACAATGTGCTGTGGGACGTTGGTACCCAGCCAGGCGCTAATGCGACTCTCTCTCTCCTCACTGAATGAATGACAAATGGATGAATGGCCGATACTTGTGCACCTTATTTCACAATTGAATTTAAATTAGGCCTAACTGAATGATAAGGAGGGTGAAGAGGTTGATTAAATTTAGAAAGACAATATTGTAATGATGAGTTTGTGTTATGCCTATTTATCAGTAATATGTATCAGTAAAAGTGTTGGCGCTCATGTTAATAATTTGACCGCGCGCCTTGCGGGTTGATACCATTATTTTTTACGTTTTACTTTATAAAAATAAGCTACTACAGGATTGTTTTATTTACTGTAACTCTATGCCTATTCAAATTTATTGTAAGGGAAATGAAAACATTCTATGTGTTGCAGTAGGCCTTCAGAATAATGCAAAACATATCCTTGACTCTTTCCAACTTGATGAGCGGGAAACAAACGATGCCAGTCAGCCTGCACAGCCGGCCCATCGAAACTACACCTAAACTAATTTCACACATAATACGAGTTAGCCTATAGACAAGATTAAATTGACAATAATCTGATGAGTGACAATATTAGGCCTATCAGTCAAATTGTACATGAAGAGATGGGTGCATTTTGTAATTTACAGATGCATGGAAAGGAGCATCACTTTATCAAATCCTCCTCATTTACATTTTACATTTGAGTCATTTAGCAGACGCTCTTATCCAGAGCGACTTACAGTTAGTGAGTGCATACATTTTTCATACTGGCCCCCCGTGGGAGGGACACTACCCAAGGCGGAAGGCGAGGCGTGGAAGGACACCGACTTCAACCACATGCAGGTATAACATTGTGATTTCTATATAGTATCTGAAAGAGCATATTCTGCAGTTTCTATTACACTTACCTTTGTCAAATAACTCTCATAATTGAAGAGGTGAAGCTCTATTTCTTAATTTAACTTTTTCCAAGAATATCCATGTTGTCCATGCATTCAGCACATGACCACTTGCGTGACACCATTGCTCTGGCTACTAAGCAAAAACTAGTAACATAATAAAATGAGAGATATTTCTATAACTTGATTGGAGTCCACCTGTGGTATATTCAATTGATTGGACATGATTTGGAAAGGCACACACACTATATAAGGTCCCACAGTTGACAGTGAATGTCAGAGCAAAAACCAAGCCATGAGGTCGAAGGAATTGTCTGTTGAGCTCCGAGACAGGATTGTGTCGAGGCACAGAACTGGGGAAGGGTACCAAAAAATGTCTGCAGCATTGAAGGTCCCCAAGAACACAGAGTCCTCCATCATTCTTAAATGGAAGAAGTTTGGAACCACCAAGACTCTTCCTAGAGCTGGCTGCCTGGTCAAACTGAGCAATTGGGGGAGAAGGGCCTTGGTCAGGGAGGTGACCAAGAATCCGATGGTCACTCTGACAGAGCTCCAGAGTTCCTCTGTGGAGATGGGATAACATTCCAGAAGGACAACCATCTCTGCAGCACTTTATGGTAGAGTGGCCAGACGGAAGCCACTCCTCAGTAAAAGGCACATGACAGCCCGCTTGGAGTTTGCCAAAAGGCATCTAAAGAACTGTCAGACCATGAGAAACAAGATTCTCTGGTCTGATGAAACCAATATTGAATGCCAAGCGTCACGTCTGAAAGAAACCAGGCACCATCCCTACTGTGACGCATGGTGGTGGCAGCATCATGCTGTGGGGAAGTTTTTCAGCGGCAGAGACTGGGAGACTAGTTAGGATCGAGGGAAAGATGAACGGAGCAAAGTACAGAGAGATCCTTGAGGAAAACCTGCTCCAGATCGCTCAGGACCTCAGACTAGGGTGAAGGTTCACCTTCCAAAAGGACAACGACCCTAAGCACACAGCCAAGACAACGCAGGAGTGGCTTCGGGACAAGTCTCTGAATGTCCTTGAGTGGCCCAGCCAGAGCCCGGACTTGAACCCGATCGAACCTGACAGAGAGGATCTGCAGAGAAGAATGGGAGAAACTCCCCAAATACAGATGTGCCAAGCTTGTAGTGTCATACCCAAGAAGACTCGAGGCTGTAATCACTGCCATAGTTGCTTCAACAAAGTACTGAGTAAATGGTCTGAATACTTATGTAAATGTAAAATTTCAGTATTTTTATTTTATTTTACCTGTTTTTGCTTTGTCATTATGGGCTATTGTGTGTAGATTGATGAGGGATAAAAACAATTTAATCAATTTTAGAATAAAGCTGTAACGTAACAAAATGTGGAAAAAGTCAAGGGGTCTGAATACTTTCCGAATGAACTGTATTTCCACAAATATTTCTTCATGCAATTAATCCTTTATAATAGTTTATGCACTATTTATCAAGCGTTGGTGCTTATGTTTGCTGCATCTTGCGGGTTTATATGCATCTGATTCATATGCTAAAGAGGAAGCCCGGCAACGTTCTCTAGTGGGTACTTATAGGCTGAAAGGTCAGGCAGTTCTAGTGTTAAGTGGTGTGGGGCTGAGCTTTGACAGTGTGGGTGGGGTTAACTCCTTGCTTGTTGGACGGGGCCACAGTGTCTCCCAACCCACATGTCTCAGTCCCCAGTAGTTATGCTGCAATCTGGTGTACTGTGATCTAACGCATGCTCCCATTAATCCCGCTCTATCTCTCTTCCTTTCTTTCTGTGTAGGGACCTGCGGTCCGTATTGACCCCGTTCTGGGATCCTGACCACGGTCCGCCTGTTGAACATGGCTACTCTATAGCCATCATGGTTACTATCTGACACTTCTGGTCATCTACGTTTGAATGTATGGCCTTAATGGCCACATGTACTCTTAAATCTCCACCCGGTACAGCAAGAAGAGGACTGGCCACCCCTCTGTGCCTGGTTCCTCTCTAGGTTTCTTCCTAGGTTCCTGCTTTCTAGGGAGTTTTTCCTAGCCACTGTGTTTCTGCCTCTGCATTGCTTGCTCTTTGGGGTTTTAGGCTGGTGCTGATGCAAAAATAGCTTTATAAAATCTATTTCATGCATGTGTTGTGTACATAAAGTATACATCTGCACAACAGTGTATTAACTTGTCTGCACTGTATAGAGCCCTCACCCTCGTTTGTCGTAGACGTCTGGTCTCCCGTCTGCGGCGGACAGACGGTCTGACTCTGGGCTGTTGATCCTCCGGTACCGCAGAGCGCAGACCTGAGCACCAGTCATTTCTGTGGGAGCTCCACCCACAGGGGCCTCAGGACACACCCCTCTAGTAGGCTCCTCCTCCGCAGCCAACTGCCCCTGGGGGAATGAGGGTTTCTAGGGTTACCACTGTTAGAAACCACTGTCAAGAGTTAGACCTATTGTGTTGACTAATTTCAAATAAGTATTACAGGTATATAGCAGCTTGAATTGTACTGTAAATGAGCTACTATTTACTTTACCATGTTTGAGCACTGTAAATTCATGGTAAACAGTACCTGAAATATATCTCCTGCTCTATCTACAACCAGGTACAGTGGGGAAAAAAAGTATTTAGTCAGCCACCAATTGTGCAAGTTCTCCCACTTAAAAAGATGAGAGAGGCCTGTAATTTTCATCATAGGTACACATCAACTATGACAGACAAAATGAGATTTTTTTCTATCCAGAAAATCACATTGTAGGATTTTTTATGAATTTATTTGCAAATTATGGTGGAAAATAAGTATTTGGTCAATAACAAAAGTTTCTCAATACTTTGTTATATACCCTTTGTTGGCAATGACACAGGTCACATGTTTTCTGTAATTCTTCACAAAGTTTTCACACACTGTTGCTGGTATTTTGGCCCATTCCTCCATGCAGATCTCCTCTAGAGCAGTGATGTTTTGGGGCTGTCGCTGGGCAACACGGACTTTCAACTCCCTCCAAAGATTTTCTATGGGGTTGAGATCTGGAGACTGGCTAAGCCACTCCAGGACCTTGAAATGCTTCTTACGAAGCCACTCCTTCGTTGCCCGGGCGGTGTGTTTGGGATCATTGTCATGCTGAAAGACCCAGCCACGTTTCATCTTCAATGCCCTTGCTGATGGAAGGAGGTTTTCACTCAAAATCTCACGATACATGGCCCCATTCATTCTTTCCTTTACACGGATCAGTCGTCCTGGTCCCTTTGCAGAAAAACAGCCCCAAAGCATGATGTTTCCACCCCCATGCTTCACAGTAGGTATGGTGTTCTTTGGATGCAACTCAGCATTCTTTGTCCTCCAAACACGACGAGTTGAGTTTTTACCAAAAAGTTCTATTTTGGTTTCATCTGACCATATGACATTCTCCCAATCCTCTTCTGGATCATCCAAATGCACTCTAGCAAACTTCAGACGGGCCTGGACATGTACTGGCTTAAGCAGGGGGACACGTCTGGCACTGCAGGATTTGAGTCCCTGGCAGCGTAGTGTGTTACTGATGGTAGGCTTTGTTACTTTGGTCCCAGCTCTCTGCAGGTCATTCACTAGGTCCCCCCGTGTGGTTCTGGGATTTTTGCTCACCATTCTTGTGATCATTTTGACCCCACGGGGTGAGATCTTGCGTGGAGCCCCAGATCGAGGGAGATTATCAGTGGTCTTGTATGTCTTCCATTTCCTAATAATTGCTCCCACAGTTGATTTCTTCAAACCAAGCTGCTTACCTATTGCAGATTCAGTCTTCCCAGCCTGGTGCAGGTCTACAATTTTGTTTCTGGTGTCCTTTGACAGCTCTTTGGTCTTGGCCATAGTGGAGTTTGGAGTGTGACTGTTTGAGGTTGTGGACAGGTGTCTTTTATACTGATAACAAGTTCAAACAGGTGCCATTAATACAGGTAACGAGTGGAGGACAGAGGAGCCTCTTAAAGAAGAAGTTACAGGTCTGTGAGAGCCAGAAATCTTGCTTGTTTGTAGGTGACCAAATACTTATTTTCCACCATAATTTGCAAATAAATTCATAAAAAATCCTACAATGTGATTTTCTGGATTTTCTTTTCTCATTTTTGTCTGTCATAGTTGACGTGTACCTATGATGAAAATGACAGGCCTCTCTCATCTTTTTAAGTGGGAGAACTTGCACAATTGGTGGCTGACTAAATACTTTTTTCCCCCACTGTATGTCTGTATCCTCTGAACGTAATAGATGGTAATTGAAAACCAACAATTTATTTCCAACGTTTTATGTTTGAATATATTTAAAGAATGTAAGACCATGTTTTACAGTGCTGCCATCACCAAAGTGAGATACACAGAGGACGTATTAGATGGTCCCTCCTATACCTTGCTGATGCTCATCCTAAGTTGGTTGCGGTTGAAGTCGGTGTCGTTCCATGCCTCGCCTTCCGCCTTGGGTAGTGTCCCCTCGCAAGGCCTGCTAGGTACTGCAGGTGGAGCATTCTCCCGGTCACTCAGGTGGTCATCTTGTAGAACGTCATCTGTGTTCTCCCTCGGCAGCTCCCCAGGAATCAGAGTCACGTTCACCACCCTGGGAAAGCACAGAACATACACTGATATTTGTACTATGTATTTATTGATTGCCTTTATTTAACCAGGTAAGTTATTGAGAACACATTCTCTTTTACAAAATGACCAGGCGATTAAATACATTTGTGTTGTTGAAAATATCCTGTATCACTTCAAATGCAAACAGTGTGCTACAAATTCTCACAGTTGCATTCTAATCCTAAATGAATTACCACAACCCAGCATTGGACTATTTGTTCCTGATTTTGTATGTAAATTAGGCTACATAATGGGAATTGTACTATCTCTTGGTTAGCTGGATGTTTTAATATTTAATATTGATGTTTCCTAAATGTTTTGAAGTGTGATCCCCTTTGAATTCCATTCTGCTTTCTGCTGTTTAATCTTGTTGATAAGTAGTGGATAAACTGTTCATCTTCATTTTGATGCGTTTGTAATAAACCTAAATAGCTAACTTTGATTCCCTTACCCGACCATGGCGGGGGTCTGTCGTGTGTTCTGTTGAGGGGGCGTTGACGTGCAGGTGGACAGAGGCACTCCATCCGTCCCTCCCTTCTCCCAATCAAAAGACTCGTTCTCTGTGATGATGCGTTCCTTCATACTGTTCTCAAAGACCGACATCAGCAACTGCATAGAGGATCACAGAGAAAAGGGGGTAAATGTAAAAAGTAAGGTATAAAGGTGGAATTCAATCAAACATACAATGCTATAAAATAATAGGCTTTACTTGAAGTACTAAAAGTTATTTACTTTTGTTTAGTTTCTACATACTGTAGTTTTATTACTGAACATTGAGAGAGCAGGTATGGTATGGGAGTTAGTCTCACATTGCCACACTTCCAGGTTCACTCTGCTATTGAAGTGAATGCAAGAAAAGCAAGGTTCAGTGGGGATAAACAAGGTGAATCCACTTGCAGGGAGTGAACAGTACGTACCTGGTAATCTGGTTTGGTAAAGTAGTCAAGGCCTAAAACATGATCCAGGAAAATATGAAACTCAGAAGGCATGTGTTTGAGCAGCATTCTGTGGTCGTAGCGCTCCTTAATCTGACCCACTTGCTCCTGGTGACACACAGAAGATACAGTAGGAACCATTAGAAACCAGTTGAGCCCAGCAGACACCAGTAGACACCAGTAACCATTCTCTACTGCAGGGTTTCTTAATCCTGTTCCTGGGGACCCAAAGGAGGATTTTTGTTTTTGCCGTAGCACTACACACGATTCCACAAAGATTTGATGATGAGTTGATTAGTCGAAATCAGGTGTGTAGTGCTAGGGCAAAACTTACAATATGCACCCCTTTGGTCCCCTGGACCAGGATGAAGAAATATTGGAAATAACTGAAACTGCAACAATAGACAATAGCTCACCTTATCTTTTATTTTTCGCCATGGTAGCTGACCGACTGCAAACTCTACCAACATGTAAAACAGCGACCATAGATCGTCATGGCGACCCATTTCCTGAGAAGTTAAAGAATGAATTAATCAATTTATTATTTTCATGAAATATTAGAATTCCTGAAGTACATCTGCAACAGCTATTTTTGATTTCCTGACAAACTGATGTTAAACAAAACACTCAGGTCAAAATTTATTTGTAGTGCATTGCATTTTTCACCCCAAAAAGACACTTACTTTGTTTTTATGAGCATTTACTGACGCATAACGAACAGTGCCCCGAAATCCTGCCACAGTTCTGGGCTGGAAAATAAAATGAGATAAGTTATCTTTTCAGCACGAAACCTGAAACAGAATTTCACACAGACAACTAGAAAGAAAATGATAGATGGAAATAAAGTACTTAAATTAAAACCTAAAAAGAGATGAGGAAGGATATGGAAAATATCTCAGGCAGGGAGAGATAATAAAAACTGAAATGGGATCAAGCACCTTACTGATGAGACGGATCACAAGCATGCGCTTCGAACAGAAAAGGCCAAAAAGGAACAGCAAAACTGCAAAACATAAAATCACACAGGTGAAAAAAGGACAGCCTCACATTGCAGCATAACAACTGTAAAAGTTTTAACATCAACACTCTGTGAACATAATATATGAAACAATGTTGTAGTAATTTACAGTAACAAACTATGAACTAATGCATTTACAAAGCATAAGGCATCGTTTAAATGTATCATCTTCCTGTGACATTCTGCATCACCATTTTGGCTCAAGAGTGGAGGATGACAGTTTTGACCTTGATAATAACACCCATTCCATCCAGCAGGTAGTCCCAGGAATATTTCCTTAGAAACTGCATGTTAGAATTTACAACAGTGTGTGGGTGTATGTGTATGTGTGTGTGTGTGTGTGTGTATGGTCTAGTTGCTGTTCTAAATTTGCAGTACAGGCCTGCCCTTCTAATCGATGAGTGGAGGCTGTCAGCAAGAAGAAAAGCAGAAAGAATCTCCACTGTGGCCCAGGCTAGCCAACTTTCCATCAGACTATATCAGGCTAGCTAACTCTCCATCAGCCTATATCAGGCTAGCCAACACTCCATCAACCTATATCAAGCTAGCCAACTCTCCATCAGCCTATATCAGGCTAGCCAACTCTACATCAACCTCTCCATCAGCCTATATCAGGCTAGCCAACTCTATATCAGCCTATTTCATTATTCATTGTTATTCTTCTTATTATGTAGCATTGCCAAGAGTGAACCTGCAAGTAAGCATTGCATTGTACTGTATACCAGGTGTATCCTGTGCATATGACAAATAAACTTGACATGACTAGCCAACTCTACATCAACCTGTATCAGGCTAGCCAACTCTCCATAAGCCTATATCAGGCTAGCCAAACTCTACATCAGACTATATCAGGCTAGCCAACTCTACATCAGCCTGTATCAGGCTAGCCAACTCTACATCAGCCTATATCAGGCTAGCCAACTCTATATCAGCCTATATCAGGCTAGCCAACTCTCCATCAACCTATATCAGGCTAGCCAACTCTCCATCAACCTATATCAGGCTAGCCAACTCTATATCAGCCTGTATCAGGCTAGCCAACTCTCCATCAGCCTATATCAGGCTAGCCAACTCCCCATCAGCCTATTTCAGGCTAGCCAACTCTATATCAGCCTATATCAGGCTAGCTAACTCTACATCAGCCTGTATCAGGCTAGCCAACTCTCCATCAGCCTGTATCAGGCTAGCCAACTCTATATCAGCCTATATCAGGCTAGCCAACTCTATATCAGCCTATATCAGGCTAGCCAACTCTCCATCAACCTATATCAGGCTAGCCAACTCTCCATCAACCTATATCAGGCTAGCCAACTCTATATCAGCCTGTATCAGGCTAGCCAACTCTCCATCAGCCTGTATCAGGCTAGCCAACTCTCCATCAGCCTATATCAGGCTAGCCAACTTTATATCAGCCTATATCAGGCTAGCCAACTCTACTTCAGCCTGTATCAGGTTAGCCAACTCTCCATCAGCCTATATCAGGCTAGCCAACTCTATATCAGCCTATATCAGGCTAGCCAACTCTCCATCAGCCTGTATCAGGCTAGCCAACTCTATATCAGGCTAGCCAACTCTCCATCAGCATATATCAGGCTAGCCAACTCTCCATCAACCTATATCAGGCTAGCCAACTCTCCATCAGCCTATATCAGGCTAGCCAACTTGATATCAGCCTATATCAGGCTAGCCAACTCTACTTCAGCCTGTATCAGGTTAGCCAACTCTCCATCAGCCTATATCAGGCTAGCCAACTCTATATCAGCCTATATCAGGCTAGCCAACTCTCCATCAGCCTGTATCAGGCTAGCCAACTCTATATCAGGCTAGCCAACTCTCCATCAGCCTATATCAGGCTAGCCAACTCTCCATCAACCTATATCAGGCTAGCCAACTCTCCATCAGCCTATATCAGGCTAGCCAACTCTCCATCAGCCTATATCAGGCTAGCCAACTCTATATCAGCCTATATCAGGCTAGCCAACTCTCCATCAGCCTATATCAGGCTAGCCAACTCTATATCAACCTATTCCAGGCTAGCCAACTCTACATCAGCCTATTCCAGGCTAGCCAACTCTACATCAGCCTGTATCAGGCTAGCCAACTATATATCATATCATAATCACATCACAAAAAGGCACATGCCCTGTCCTTTCCTATTCTCCTACCCAAAGTGCCCTGAGGACAAAGCATTTCCAGTGCGAGAAACCCATTGCCACTACCCCCAGGTTGTGTGCACTAACCCTCCTAACTCAACACCAAAATAGCACACTGTATACCCCATGTCCTATATTCTTGCTAGAATGATTCAATGGGTTTAAATATTAACATAACATTATAAATGAAATGAACAAAATCCTTCCACGGCTACTTACCGGTCGGACCTCTCCGGTAGTGTTGGTGTACTGGCGAGCTAGGCCAAAGTCTAACATAAAGCACTTTCTATAGGTGGAGGGGAGTCGACCCATGGCAAAGTTTGACTGGGGAAAAAACAACAGCAAACATTACACTCACAAAAGTTCCAAAATAATAAAGACACTTCAAATGTCATATGTGCAAATAGTTAAAGTACAAAAGGGAAAATAAATAAACAATGGTGTTTGTTCTTCACTGGTTGCACTTTTCTTGTGGCAACAAGTCAAAAATCATGCTGCTGTGATGGCACACTGTGGTATTTCACCAAATAGAGAAATTGGGTTTGTTTTCTAATTCTTTGTGGATCTGTGTAATCTCAGGGAAATATGTGTCTCTATTATGGTCATACATTTGGCAGGAGGTTAGGAAGTGCAGCTCGGTTTCCACCTCATGTGGGCAGTATGCACATAGCCTGTCTTGTCTTGAGAGCCAGGTCTGCCTATGGCGGCATTTCTCAATATCAAGGCTATGCTCACTGAGTCTGTACATACACAACCGGTCAAAAGTTTGGACACACCTACTCATTCTATTGTTTTTCTTTATTTTTACATTGTAGAATAATAGTGAAGACATTAAAACTATGAAATAACACATATGGAATAATGTAGTAACTAAAAAAGTGTTAAACAAATCAAAATATATTTTACATTTGAGATTCTTCAAATAGCCACCCTTTGCCTTGATGACAGCTTTGCATACTCTTGGCATTCTCTCAACCAGCTTCATGAGGAAGTCACCTAGAATGCATTTGAATTAATAGGTGTGCCTTGTTAAAAGTTAATTTGTGGAATTAATGCGTTGGAGCCAATCAGTTGTGTTGTGAAAAGGTAGGTGGGGTATACAGAAGATAGCCCTATTTGGTAAAAGACCAAGTCCATATTATGGCAAGAACAGCTCAAATAAGCAAAGAGAAACAACAGTCCATCATTACTTTAAGACATGAAGGTCAGTCAATATGGAACATTTCAAGAACTTTGAAAGTTTCTTCAAGTGCAGTCGCAAAAACCATCAAGCGCTATGATGAAACTGGCTCTCATGAGGACCACCACAGGAATGGAAGACCCAAAGTTACCTCGGCTTTAGAGGATAAGTTCATTAGAGTTACCAGCCTCAGAAATTGCAGCCCACAAAAATGCTTCTCAGAGTTCAAGTCACAGACACATCTCAACATCAACTGTTCAGAGGGGACTGTGTGAATCTGGCCTTCGTGGTTGAATTGCTGCAAAGAAACCACTACTAAAGGACACCAATAAGAAGAAGAGACCTGCTTGGGCCAAGAAACACGAGCAATGTACAGTTGAAGTCGGAAGTTTACATACACCTTAGCCAAATATATTTAAACTGTTTTTCACAATTCCTGACATTTAATCCTAGTAAAAATTCCCTGTCTTAGGTCAGTTAGGATCACCACTTTATTTTAAGAATGTGAAATGTCAGAATAATAGTAGAGATAATTATTTATTTTCTGCTTTTATTTCTTTCATCACATTCCCAGTGGGTCAGACGTTTACATACACTCAATTAGTATTTGGTAGCATTGCTTTTAATTGTTTAACTTGGGTCAAACATTTCGGGTAGCCTTCCACAAGCTTCCCACAATAAGTTGGGTGAATTTTCGCCCGTTCCTCCTGACAGAGCTGGTGTAACTGAGTCAGGTTTGCAAGCCTCCATACTCGCACACACTTTTTCAGTTCTGCCCACACATTTTCTATAGGATTGAGGTCAGGGCTTTGTGATGGCCACTCCAATACCTTGACTTTGTTGTCCTTAAGCCATTTTGCCACAACTTTGGAAGTATGCTTGGGGTCATTGTCCATTTGGAAGACCATTTGCGACCAAGCTTTAACATCCTGACTGATGTCTTGACATGTTGCTTCAATATATCCACATCATTTTCCTTCCTCATGATGCCATCTATGTTGTGAAGTGCACCAGTCCCTCCTGCAGCAAAGCACCCCCACAGCATGATGATGCCACGCCCGTGCTTCACGGTTGGGATGGTGTTCTTCGTCTTGTAAGCCCCCCCTTTTTCCTCCAAACATAACGATGGTGATTATGGCCAAACAGTTCTATTTTTGTTTCATCAGACCAGAGGACATTTCTCCAAAAAGTACGATCTTTGTCCCCATGTGCAGTTGCAAACCGTAGTCTGGCTTTTTTATGGCGGTTTTGGAGCAGTGGCCTCTTCCTTGCTGAGCAGCCTTTCAGGTTATGTCGATATAGGACTTGTTTTACTATGGATATAGATACTTTTGTACCTGTTTCCTCCAGCGTCTTCACAAGGTCCTTTGCTGTTGTTCTGGGATTGATTTGCACTTTTCGCACCAAAGTACGTTCATCTCTAGGAGACAGAAAGTGTCTCCTTCCTGAGCGGTATGACGGCTGCGTGGTCCCATGGTGTTTATACTTGCGTACTATTGTTTGTACAGATGAACGCAGTACCTTCAGCCGTTTGGAAATTGCTCCCAAGGATGAACCAGACTTGTGGAGGTCTACAAAAAAAAATTATCTGAGGTCTTGGCTGATTTCTTTTGATTTTCCCATGATGTCAAGCAAAGAGGCACTGAGTTTGAAGGTAGGCCTTGAAATACATCCACAGGTACACCTCCAATTGACTCAAATGATGTCAATTAGCCTATCAGAAGCTTCTAAAGCCATGACATCATTTTCTGGAATTTTCCAAGCTGTTTAAAGGCACAGTCAACTTAGCGCATGTAAACTTCTGACCCACTGGAATTGTGATACAGTGAATTATAAGTGAAATAATCTGTCTGTAAACAATTGTTTGAAAAATTACTTGTGTCATGCAACCGACTTGCCAAAACTATAGTTTGTTAACAAGAAATTTGTGGAGTGGTTGAAAAACGAGTTTTAATGACTCCAACCTAAGTGTATGTAAACTTCTGACTTCAACTGTACATTAGACTGGTGGAAATGTGTCCTTTGGTCTGGAGTCCAAATTGGAGATTTTTGGTTCCAACCGTCATGTCTTTGTGAGACGCAGTGTGGGTGAACGGATGATCTCCGCATGTGTAGTTCCCACCGTAAAGCATGGAGGAGGGGGTGTTATGGTGTGGGGGTGCTTTGCTGGTGACACTGTCTGTGATTTATTTAGAATTCTAGGCACACTTAACCAGCATGGCTACCACAGCATTCTGAAGCGATATGCCATCCCATCTGGTTTGGGTTTAGTGGGACTATCATTTGTTTTTCAACAGGACAATGACCCAACACACCTCCCGGCTGTGTAAGGGCTATTTTACCAAGAAGGAGAGTGATGGAGTGTCGCATCAGATGGTCTGGCCTCCACAATCCCCCGACCTCAACCAAATTGAGATGGTTTGGGTTGAGTCGGACTGCAGAGTGAAGGAAAAGCAGCCAACAAGTGCTCAGCATATGTGGGAACTCATTCAAGACTGTTGGAAAAGCATTCTAGGTGAAGCTGGTTGAGAGAATGACAAGAGTGTGCAAAGCTGTCATCAAGGCAAAGGGTGGCTATTTGAAGAATCTCAAATATAAGATATATTTTGATTTGTTTAACACTTTTTTGTTTACCACATGATTCCATATGTGTTATTTCATAGTTTTGATGTCTTCACTATTATTCTACAATGTAGAAAATAGTAAAAATAAAGAAAAACCCTTGAATGAGTAGGTGTGTCCAAACTTTTAACTGGTACTGTAGTCAAAGCTTTCCGTAAGTTTGGGTCAGTCACAGTGGTCAGGTATTCTGCTACTCTGTACTCTCTGTTTAGGGCTAAATAGCATTCTAGTTTGCTCAGTTTTTTTGTTAATTCTTTCCAATGTGTCAAGTAATTATCTTTTTGTTTTCTCATTATTTGGTTGGGTCTAATTGTGTTGCTGTCCTGGGGCTCTGTGGGGTCTGTTTGTGTTTGTGAACAGAGCCCCAGGACCAGCTTGCTTAGGGGACTCTTCCCCAGGTTCATCTCTCTGTAGGTGATGGCTTTGTTATGGAAAGTTTGGGAATAGTTTCATTTTAGGTGGTTGTAGGATTTAATGGCTCTTTTCTGGATTTTGATAATTCTGCTCTGCATGCATTATTTGGTGTTTTACATTGTACACAGAGGATATTTTTTCATGCAGAATCTTAATTTGGTGTTTTTCCCAAAAGCTTTTTTGAAATCAACAAAGCATGAGAAGACTTTGCCTTTGTTTTGGTTTGTTTGTTTGTCAATTAGGGTGTGCAGGGTGAATACATGGTCTGTCGTACGGTAATTTGGTTAAAAAAAACTATTTGACATTTGCTCAGTACATTGTTTTCACTGAGGAAATGTACAAGTCTGCTGTTAATGATAATGCAGAGGATTTTCCCAAGGTTGCTGTTGACGCATATCCCACGGTAGTTATTGGGGTCAAATTTGTCTCCACTTTTGTGGATTGGGGTGATCAGTCCTTGGTTTCAAATATTGGGGAAGATGCCAGAGCTAAGGATGATGTTAAAGAGTTTAAGTATAGCCAATTGGAATTTGTGGTCTGTATATTTTATCATTTCATTGAGTATGAAAAATGTATGCACTCACTAACTGTAACTCGCTCTGGATAAGAGCGTCTGCTAAATGACTAAAATGTAAAATGTAGGATACGATCAACACCACAGGCCTTTTTGGGTTGGAGGGTTTGTATTTTGTCCTGTAGTTCATTCAATGTGATTGGAGAATCCAGTGGGTTCTGGTAGTCTTTAATAGTTGATTCTAAGATTTGTATTTGATCATGTATATGTTTTTGCTGTTTATTCTTTGTTATAGGGCCAAAAAGATTAGAGAAGTGGTTTACCCATACATCTCAGTTTTGGATAGATAACTCTTTGTGTTGTTGTTTATTTAGTGTTTTCCAATTTTGCCAGAAGTGGTTAGAGTCTATGGATTCTTCAATTACATTGAGCTGATTTCTGACGTGCTGTTCCTTCTTTTTCCGTAGTGTATTTCTGTATTGTTTTGTGATTCAACATAGTGAAGGCGCAGGCTCAGGTTTTCTGGGTCTCTATGTTTTTGGTTGGATAGGTTTCTCAATTTCTTTCTCTCACCCCTCTATCACACAACTGTTCTCTTTCTATCACCCACCCCTTTCTATCTGACATGTAAAGTGCCACCTACAGGCTTGATGTCTCTGTGCAGGAAACTCACAGAGTGGATGGACTACTATTGACTACTCAAGGATCTGTTTATAAGTCTTACAATGCATTATAACCACACATCATAATGCCTTATACCTGCAGGCTTTAGGTAAAGTGCTACAGAGAGGGCCACCTACAGGCTTGATGTCTCTGTGCAGGAAGCCCACAGAGTGGATTGCCTCTATGGACTCCAGGATCTGTTTGCCCAGGCGTAGCGTGGTGCTCATGGTGAAGGTGCCACGAGGTTGACTCCTCCTCAGGTCCGCTAGGTTTCTCCCCTGCTGGGGGGGAGAGAAGGGGGAGGGAAAGAAGGGGAAGGTGGAGGGAGAGAGAGGGAGATGGGTAGAGGGTGGGGGGAGAGAGAGGGAGGGGTCAGAGGGAGGGTAGGGAGAGTTGAGACAAGACAGGGGGAGGGAGAGGGGGGATGAAGAGAGGGAGAGCGGGGAGATAGACGGAGAGAGATTTTTCATTCATTTTTTTCTACTTAGTTGTAGCCTTGGCTAGGATTCTCTCTACCTAAAGCAATTGTATCAGACTGTTTTGATAAATGGTTACCTGAAGTTGCATGACCACATAGTTAAACTTCTCGTTCCTTCCACATCCGATGAATTTACATACATGATTTTTTCCTGTGAAAGAATTGAGAGGTTTGTGTAAATGTTATTATACAGTCAATATAAAATGAGCTATCTATGAATCTACTTGTACCATCACAGTTAAACAACTGATTCAGTTGGATGTTTAAGATTAAGATTACTTTATTGGTCAATTGCACAAAAGGTCCAACCAAAATGTTACTTCCTCTTTAACCCAACCCCTCCGAAAGACACACATACAGTACATACACATACAGTGGGGAAAAAAGTATTTAGTCAGCCACCAATTGTGCAAGTTCTACCACTTAAAAAGATGAGAAAGGCCTGTAATTTTCATCATAGGTACACGTCAACTATGACAGACAAAATGAGAAAACAAAATCCAGAAAATCACATTGTAGGATTTTTTATGAATTTATTTGCTAATTATGGTGGAAAATAAGTATTTGGTTAATAACAAAAGTTTCTCAATACTTTGTTATATACCCTTTGTTGGCAATGACACAGGTCAAACGTTTTCTGTAAGTCTTCACAAGGTTTTCACACACTGTTGCTGGTATTTTGGCCCATTCCTCCATGCAGATCTCCTCTAGAGCAGTGATGTTTTGGGGCTGTCGCTGGGCAACACGGACTTTCAACTCCCTCCAAAGATTTTCTATGGGGTTGAGATCTGGAGACTGGCTAGGCCACTCCAGGACCTTGAAATGCTTCTTACGAAGCCACTCCTTCATTGCCCGGGCGGTGTGTTTGGGATTATTGTCATGCTGAAAGACCCAGCCACGTTTCATCTTCAATGCCCTTGCTGATGGAAGGAGGTTTTCACTCAAAATCTCACGATACATGGCCCAATTAATTATTTCCTTTACACGGATCAGTCGTCCTGGTTCCTTTGCAGAAAAACAGCCCCAAAGCATGATGTTTCCACCCCCATGCTTCACAGTAGGTATGGTGTTCTTTGGATGCAACTCAGCATTCTTTGTCCTCCAAACACGACGAGTTGAGTTTTTACCAAAAAGTTCTATTTTGGTTTCATCTGACCATATGACATTCTCCCAATCCTCTTCTGGATCATCCAAATGCACTCTAGCAAACTTCAGACGGGCCTGGACATGTACTGGCTTAAGCAGGGGGACACGTCTGGCACTGCAGGATTTGAGTCCCTGGCGGCGTAGTGTGTTACTGATGGTAGGCTTTGTTACTTTGGTCCCAGCTCTCTGCAGGTCATTCACTAGGTCCCCCCGTGTGGTTCTGGGATTTTTGCTCACCGTTCTTGTGATCATTTTGACCCCACGGGGTGAGATCTTGCGTGGAGCCCCAGATCGAGGGAGATTATCAGTGGTCTTGTATGTCTTCCATTTCCTAATAATTGCTCCCACAGTTGATTTCTTCAAACCAAGCTGCTTACCTATTGCAGATTCAGTCTTCCCAGCCTGGTGCAGGTCTACAATTTTGTTTCTGGTGTCCTTTGACAGCTCTTTGGTCTTGGCCATAGTGGAGTTTGGAGTGTGACTGTTTGAGGTTGTGGACAGGTGTCTTTTATACTGATAACAAGTTCAAACAGGTGTCATTAATACAGGTAACGAGTGGAGGACAGAGGAGCCTCTTAAAGAAGAAGTTACAGGTCTGTGAGAGCCAGAAATCTTGCTTGTTTGTAGGTGACCAAATACTTATTTTCCACCATAATTTGCAAATAAATTCATAAAAAATCCTACAATGTGATTTGTCTGTCATAGTTGACGTGTACCTATGATGAAAATTACAGGCCTCTCTCATCTTTTTAAGTGGGAGAACTTGCACAATTGGTGGCTGACTAAATATTTTTTCCCCCACTGTACATACAGTGCATTCGGAAAGTATTCAGACCCTTTGACTTTTCCACATTTTGTTACGTTACAGCCTTATTCTAAAATGGATTTTAAAAACATTTATCCTCATCAATCTACACACAATACTCAATGATGACAAAGCAAAAACAGTATGTTAGACATTTTTGCAAATGTATTAAAAAAATTAAAAAAATGAAAAATTATACATTTACATAAGTATTCAGACCCTTTACTCACTACTTTGTTGAAGCACCTTTGGCAGCGAGTACAGCCTCAAGTCTTCTCGGGTATGACGCTATAAGCTTGGCACTTCTGTATTTGGGGAGTTTCTCCCATTCTTCTCTGCAGAACCTCTTAAGCTCTGTCAGGTTGGATGGGGAGCGTCGCTGCACAGCTATTTTCAGGTCTCTCCAGAGATTTTCGACCGGGTTCAAGTCTGGGCTCTGGTTGGGCCACTCAAAGACATTCAGAGACTTGTCCCGAAGACACTCCTGCGTTGTCTTGGCTGTGTGCTGACGGTCGTTGTCCTGTTGGAAGTCTGAGGTCCTGAAGCAGGTTTTCATCAAGGATCTCTCTGTACTTTGCTCCATTCATCTTTCCCTCGATCCTAACTAGTCTCCCAGTCCCTGCCACTGAAAAACATCCCCACAGCATGATGCTGCCACCACCATGCTTCACCGTAGGGATGGTGCCAGGTTTCCTCCAGACGTGACACTTGGCATTCAGGCCAAAGAGTTCAATCTTGGTTTCATCAGACCAGAGAATGTTGTTTCTCATGGTCTGAGAGTCCTTTAGGTGCCTTTTGGCAAACTCCAAGCGGGCTGTCATGTGCCTTTTACTGAGGAGTGGCTTCGATCTGGCCACTCTACCATAAAGGCTTGATTCACCGTAGGGATGGTGCCAGGTTTCCTCCAGACGTGACACTTGGCATTCAGACCAAAGAGTTCAATTTTGGTTTCATCAGACCAGAGAATGTTGTTTCTCATGGTCTGAGTGACCTTTAGGTGCCTTTTGGCAAACTCCAAGCGGGCTGTCATGTGCCTTTTACTGAGGAGTGGCTTCCGTCTGGCCACTCTACCATAAAGGCCTGATTGATGGAGTGCTGCAGAGATAGTTGTCCTTCTGGAAGGTTCTCCCATCTCCACAGAACAACTCTGGAGCTCTGCCAGAGTGACCATCGGGTTCTTGGTCACCTCCCTGACCAAGGCCCTTCTCCCCCGATCGCTCAGTTTGCCGGGCGGCCAGATCTAGGAAGAGCCTTGAAGGTTCCAAACTTCTTCCATTTAAGAATAATGGAGGCCACTGTGTTCTTGGGGACCTTCAATGCTGCAGAAATGTTTTGGTACCCTTCCCCAGATCTGTGCCTTGTCTCGGAGCTCTATGGACAATTCCTTCCACCTCATGGCTTGGTTTTTGGTCTGACATGCACTGTCAACTGTGGGACCTTATATAGACAGGTGTGTGCCTTTCCAAATCATGTCCATTCAATTTAATTTACCACAGGTGGACTCCAATCAAGTTGTAGAAACATCTAAAGGATGATCAATGGAAACAGGATGCACCTGAGCTCAATTTCGAGTCTCATAGCAAAGGGTCTGAATACTTATGTAAATAAGGTATTTCTGTTTTTTATTTGCAATACATTTGCAAAAATGTCTAAAAACCTGTTTTCGCTTTGACATTATGGGGTATTGTGTGTAGATTGACGAGGTTAAAAAACCATTTAATTAATTTTAGAATAAGGCTGTAACGTAATAAAATGTGGAAAAAGTCAAGGCGTCTGAATACTTTCCGAATGCATGTACATGTTAGACCAACCCTAATAACCCCATAACATTTTGCATCATTAGTTAGGGTTCCATCCAATTGGCGATGTCGATTGTGCAAATATTCAAAAATCTGCATAAAGAAAATGTGCATTTTCCCACCAGTGGTATGTTTCCACCAAACTGACTTGTTGCGGATAACAATCCGTGCGTGATTACATAGTGCATACAAAATTTACTTTTTCGCTTAAGTTTTCATGTACCGAATAAAAATATAAATGTCAATGTATTTCCATTGCATTTTCAACTCTACCGATAGTTTTTTTTTATATGGTATTACTCACATAAAAACTGTGGATGGAAATGTGGTTATTGTTAAAAGGATTGGGATCAGATTGCTTTCCTTGGACCTAATATTTAGAATGTGGTATCTGAATTAGGCATTTATCCAAGAATCAAACACACATATTAACAGTCAGGGAGTCCCTAGATTTAGTCATACAATAACATTAGGGCATGCTAACTTCAAGTAATTTCCAACGACCGTATACTTTCAGGTTGAGTTGCATTCAAATAATAGTAGCCAGAGGACATTTTCAGGGCATTTCCCAAGCCATTTAAAGAAGGGTGCTCACTAACACAAGCAGCTAGCCAGCCAGACAGACACACACACACACAGTTTAATGCTCATTAGCCATCCTCCCTGCTAGCAGTGACATTTTTGTATCTGTTTTTGGGACTACAGACCAGAACAAGCAAAGCTGACAGACACAGAAATTCCCCAAAATAAATACTGCCTAAGAGATCGACGATGTGAAACACTCAATGCCAAAATATAATTTTGCACAAAGAAGTATAAACCCCAGTGCAGCAGACATGTCAACTGATTGACTACCTAACTCATCAAATCACAGAACAGAACAAACAATCACCACACCTACAACCTTGCCAATCACACTAATCAAATGGCTAGACAGACAGATGTTACGTCACATCACACCATAGCCAGACAACTTAATTAACCTTGCCATGCTTATTCATGTACAAGGTGATGTTGTCATTGATTGATCATGTCCTTAGTGAACCCTATCCGCCCCCGGTATCTGCCTGCCCTGCCCTTACCTTGCAGTTTGTTTTTCATAACAGGAGAGTGGAATTTCATCACAAAGGGCGATATATGGTGCAGGAGGAGAGAAAGTGGCAAAGGCGGTCGCAGGGATTGAACCCACAACCTTCGGGGTTCTAATACATGCTTCTATTAGTGGCGTTACCACTTAACCACACAGACACACAGCTGAACGTGTGTGTGTGTGTGTGTGTGTTACTGCTAAACCACACAGGCCCTTACCTTGCAGTTTCTTGAGGACGGCCACCTCCATCTTGAGGACCTGTTTAGGCTGCTGGGCTGACTCTACCTTGAGAGCCACATTCTCCCTGGTCAGCAGGTCCAACGCCTCGTAGATCTCTCCGAAACCTCCCCCGCCGATCTTCTTCAGCTGGGAATGGTGGCAGAGGAGAGACAAGGGTGGAATAAACACAGTAGAAAAGTGAGGATTGCGGATGCCTGCTTCTTACTGTTTGCTGCCTGTTCTTTGAAGTGAACATTTTGAAAATGCTAGTTCTTAACTAGCCTGATCCCAGATCTGTTTGTGTTGTTTTGCCAACTCTTATGGTCACTGTCACGCCTAACAATGACCGTAGCATTTGGCATGACAGCACCAACAGATCTGTGATCAGGCTAGTTCTCATTAGGGTAAGGAACATTCTAAATCAGGGATTCTCAACTCTGGCATTATGTGTTTCATTTTAATCAATTACTTAATTATTTCACCAGTCACTCAGCTGAGAGTCAATTACATGGTCAAAATGTCTCTGAAGATAAAGACAAACTCACCACTTTCCATCGGTCCTTTACCAGGCAGTTGGGGGGCAGGATGTCCACCTGCTCCCCCGCTCCGTTCATGTTTTCGTCGGGCTGGGCGGCCGTCCCTACGCACTGCATTGGCCGGCCAGACAGAGACACAGCAGCTCCCAACTTGATTCAGCCATTTACCTGTGAAGAAGAACACAGTAATGTAAGCTACAACATACACAAATACAGTATACAACAATTACATTATGAATTTTAAAAAATATAATCTAAACTGACTAACTCATTTAAAAAAATAAGGTACAAGCTTGACAATACAATGAGGCCACAAAGGCCAACACGCAATCCAATCTGTCAGGAAGAGCAGCAGATTTAGCCTCGGCCTCCACACACCGCAGGACAAGCCCCTGGTAAACTGTCGACATGTCGCTAATGCCTCTGAACCCCAAATGTGTCTATGTGGTCATAAGTAAACAATTTTGCGCCATGGACAGCACCGCTATCCACGCTTAACAACAATTCAGCACTACGGACAGCACTGCGACCCGCGTTTAAAACAAATGTGTTTTGGTCGCAGATTCAGCACTAGGGACAGCAACAGTTAGCGCTAAAATATTTGATAGATTGCATGCAATTTCTCTACAAACGGAATCCATAGGCATTGGTGTGACTGAAGCTGACTTTTCGGCACATTGGACAGCACCACTCATTACAGCACCGTGCTGGCCAAGGACAGCGCCGCAGCACCCCTCACTTAACACACCTGCTGGCATTCTCTAGGCCAGTGTTTCTCCACTCCAGTCCTCAAATACAATTTTTTGTTGTAGCCCCGGACAAGCACACCTGATTCAACTAATCATCAAGCCCTCAATGAGTTGAATCAAGTGAGTTTGTCCAGGGCAACTACAAAAATGTGTGCTGTTTGGGGTACTCATGGACTGTAGTTGGGAAACACTGCTCTAGGCTTGCGCTGCCTGCCAGACACCACACCTACAGGTAACTGCCAAAATAAAGGAAACACCAACATAAAGTGTCTTAATAGGGTGTTGGGCCCCCACGAGTCACCAGAACAGCTTCAATGTGCTTTGGCATAGATTCTACAAATGTCTGGAACTCTATTGGAGGGATGTGACTCCATTCTTCCACGAGAAAATCCTAATTTGGTGTTTTGTTGATGGTGGTGGAAAACACTGTCTCAGACGCCGCTCCAGAATCTCCCATAAGTGTTCAGTTGGGTTGAGATCTGGTGACTGAGACACACACCCTTTAAACCCCTTATGCTCCTTTGAGACCCCTCTTTCAAAGTCACTGAGATCTCTTCTTCTAGCCATTGTAGCCAAAATAATGGGCAACTGGGCATTTTTATACATGACCCTAAGCATGATAGGATGTTAATTGCTTAATTAACTCAGTAACCACACCTGTGTCGAAGCACCTGCTTTAAATATAACTTATATCCCTAATTTACTCGTGTTTCCTTTATTTTGGCAGTTACCTGTATTAGAATGGCTGGGCTCAAAGCATTCTGAAATCAAACGCAGATGCAGGAGATTACATCCTGAGCCTTACACCAGTGTGGAAGCTTCACACAGCCCTAGACAGTTAATGTGCTGAAGGTACACTCAATGCAACAGTGCAAAGTAATAAAGCAATGTTCAAGTGAATTAACTCTGTCATGCAATTACCTCGAGGTTCAATAATGTCAATTTACACTTGGTTGATTAAAGTAAAGTACACCTGCATTGGGGACTTTGGAAAGAACGACTCCAATACCACACACCCAATGTTGGCGAAACACTTTTAGTAGGCCTATATTTAAAACATGTCTTTATATTCTTCCAATTCTATAACGAACCCCATCGACAAAAAAAGAGACTGGTCAATTGCAATACTCAATAGCCATTATCATAGTAGGCTACTAAGAAAATCCTGTGATAACATAATCATTTTCAAGTATGTAACTAGGCTACATTTTACAGCTACATATATATTTAGAATTACGAAAAGGGTGTAACATTTTAGTAGGCCACTGCACTGTCTAATGTTGGGCCTATGAATTACTTGTAATTTGCGCTCTCACCTTACTGCTACAAACACAGGGTGGGACCCGTTCTGTTTCCAATAGGCTTTCCTTAGATATAATTCCATAAGACACAACCTCTCCTCCATCGCAACTAACAGCAGTCCCCAGGCCCATAAGCTCTACTATCATTCTCCTCCTACTGTTACATTTTCTCCGCACTGCAGTTTCGGCGCTCGCTCAACGGGTAGGCAGGGCTACCATCCGAGCGGCAGGCGGCGCGCACAGCCCATACAGAGTTCTAATTCTAGGCATGACGTTTTCCAAGCATCAACATTCACCATTGCCCTGCGCCCTTGGCCCAATGTACAGGTTGTGTACCTTTACTCCGCCCCTAAAACATATTTCAGGAATCACCTATTGGATCAATATCAGTCAATCAGCTGCCATACAACGTTCCACTGCATGGTAAGTGCGCGAATGGCACTTTGGGAAATGTCGTTTACAGTCGGGAAAGCCTACGCAAAGGGACCCGACTAGATGCTTGTAAAAGACTACACCTCCCGTTGTGAGCGACTGAAATCCTGACGTAAGTCTGCATTATGATGATTATTTCTAAATTATTCATTATTCTTGTTATATAGATGTAAAATATACTAATTGTCATGTTCAAGCTCTTGACGTCATCTGGCATCATTGCCAATAACTGTGTTGTGGAGTGACACCGTGATCTATTCCAGATTGCTTTATTCTCTAGAAACAGCCATCGAAGTGGTGTTGCTCTCCCATGTTATCATAGCAAAGCGAGCGACCTTGTATTCAGCAGTATTATTGACAAAGTGCCAATGCCTTGAATGTGCTTTATTTCCGCAAGATCATCTACATCAATTCAACAAAGAGCAAAACATTGTATCCAGACCTGATCTTCTGACGTCGTTGTATGGCCTCGGTGCGCGAGGCATTTGAGAGGTGCATCAGTCCTTGTGCGAGGTCGTGGTAATGACATATGTGTCGGTTGTCGTTGCACCATTCTCCATTCTCCCCGTTATACGCCTCTACTCCTCTGAATCAGCATCACCGAGATTCTCCCATTACGCAACGCGCGCGGTCCTGCATGACCATGGATGGTTGTTGCGTGGTAACGTGAGTAGCGCACGGCGCTCAATAAGCGCCTATTGAGAAATTATGAACTGTGCGAAATGTGCAAGAAGTAGCAGTTTCAGTAGCAGCACCAAACTAACAGTGTATCTGCCATAGCGTAGGCTATTAGGCAAATGCACTAGTGCACAATGGTCTCACTGAGTCTAACCATGGCCTCCTCCTTTGTGTAGATGTAATTTTACACACAAGAGGGTACTGTTTTCCCACAGATAAATTCAAATTCTCATTCGTGCATTTTACCTTGACGTTTGGCCCTCAATACCAAAGGCGCGCCTCTGCCTATAGGCAGACTACCGCTTTTTCTTCTTCTTTTTTTTGGGGGGGGGTACTCAATTTACTGTTGAGTGTTAGAAAGGTAGAATAAACAAGGTGCAACTTCCACATTAGTTTTTTTCCACTTGGTATGTCAGTCACTGATAGTCACTCAAATCTAAACCTTGTAGTTGGCCTAATCATCAACAACAGGGCACGCAGGGCATGTGCCCAGGGTCGCTGACCTCCAGCTGGCCATCATTGATTTTGCTAGTCACTCTCATTCAGATATCATGAACATGGCATAAGTCATGGCAAAATGTGTAGAATTGCAGGAAATTAGCATTAAAACTGCCAAAGTTTCTCACCACCCCATGGAAAAATATGTAGAATTGCCAGATATTACCTTTGAAACTGCAACATTTTCTCTCAGCCCCATGGCAGAATGGGTTGAATTGCAAACAATTTATTTTAACACTAGTTAGGTTTCCATCCAATTGGCAACATATTTTCATGTGAATATTCTAAACTCTGCATAAAAACAAATGCACATTTTCCCACCAGAGATGTTTTCCATCAAATGGAGTTGTTGCAGATAAAAAACTGTGCGTGATGAAGTAGTGCACATAAAAATTATTTTTGCCATTAAATTCCCATGTACCAAATAAAAAATACATATTAAATGAGTTTCCATCATATCTTCAACTGTAAGCCTATGTTGGGTAGGTACAGCGAATGGGCCCACTCTGGTATTGGCATGTGCGCTCTAGCCAACAGCTTGCAGATACAGTGCGGGTATAGCCGACATGATGATATTATTATGGACAAAAGCATGAGATTCTTTTTATTTGTCAAACGGCAGCCAAGCATCAATCATCATGTCACCAGAATAAGACCCTCGATATTTATTCAAAGGAGCATCAAGCTCATCACCGTGCACTTTCACCACCCTGTGAAGTTCATCATAACTTATTTCATCTGTAGCCTAATAAACTGCATGCTTTCCCGAGTCGTAGTGGGAGAACCACACAACAGCTGGCAGAGCACGGCGCTTGTAACGCCAAGGTAGTGGGTTCGATCCCCGGGACCACCCATACAAAAAAAAAAAAAATGAATGCACGCATGACTGTAAGTCGCTTTGGATAAAAGCGTCTGCTAAATGGCATATTATATATTATAAGTGACTCCAAGTTTACTTCGATATGATGGTTATTATGTCAATATTTGCGCATAAAAGCGTTTCCACCGCCATTTCTCGCATCATTAATTTTCACGACACAAAAAGATCACACTTTGTCTAGCTTATTTTGTATTTTGGTTAATGTCAAGCCATTTTTAGGGATACTGGAATTATGTTTTGGATGAACATGCGCATGCCTACAGGAGACTTTTGAAGTAACCTAGTCAAATTAAAACATTGTAAGGGGTTGTGTTTTGCCACATAAAAGGTAATACATGCTAAAAGTTCAATTAAAGCGTTTGGTTCTACGTGCGCTAGGAATAGCAGCTCAAATTGGAGAGGAGGCAGAGCCTGCATTAAGCTTTCCTTAATAACTGTCATGACGGCAAAATAGAGACATTAGTGTACAAGCATGTAAAGTATGATCTGCACATGTAAAATATACAGTGCATTCGGAAAGTATTCAGACCCCTTGACTTTTTCCACATTTTGTTATGTTACAGCCTTATTCTAAAATAG